ATGTAGACCCAGGCCTCCTCTTACAATGGAAGGTATTGGGCTGTTCCCACGCGGGTCCAATACGGATTGGAAACTTCACACACATCATTAAATTAAATTGCGACGTTTTCTTTCGCCGAAACGCTCGACGTGAATTTCAAATTAAATTTCTAAACTCAGAGATGCAAGCCCGAATTCGAACCCACAACCTGCCGCCTGGGAGGTGGTAAGTTTAAACTACTAACCCAGCACGGCTATTACATAATATTATGATAAATAAAGTATACAAAGCGAAATATTACACTTGAAAACGTCAAGTTTTTTTTTTACTCTAGCAATGACAATCGAATACTTTTAGAAAACTGAGTAAGAAATTTTAAAAAATGTCATACGGCAAAGTCATACGTGCCCAAGGTGCTGTTGTTTATTACAACAATTTCTCAACCCTATGACACTAGCAAAAAGGTGTCACTGTAATGTTTTTAAGTTAGACATATACGTGTAAGGGTTCAACAAGAGGGTCTTCAATAAAAAATACTTAAATCCAAATAACTCTCCTTGTATTCCAGAAAAGTTACAATTTACGACTCGTTGTTTGCTACAGTCATGACAATTGCCGCAGTAATAGTATTTTTTTCATCCTTCAGTACACGCTAAGGCATCTCATCTCAATTGGCCACACTGCCAGTTCTTAGATTGTATTTATTTTTTCAGTAATTTAATTTTCTGAAATATTTTCAAACTTTCGACAATAATGATTATAGATGAAACGGATAGTGATTTGACCGAATGCCGGATATCCGGCGAGCATCAAGGCCGGACAACCGTCTATCCGTTTTTGCTTTTTTTTTGTTTCCCTTCGTTCCGCATGGAACAGGCGAAAGTCAGGGACCATACTGCCTACTCATTAGTTTCTCTTTTTCTTCACTTGACCGTTTTAGTCTTTTTTTCCATCCTCTAAGGTTATTGCTCGGGTGGCGCCAAAAGTGACAGTTCAAGAGAAGTTGCGTTCGAGTAAAAGAATGAATGTCGCGTTCAAGTAACATATAAAAAAAGGAATGTCGCGATTATGTATTTTCAATAAATACGCCGTCTACCATGTACAGTAGTAAACACGCACACGTTACCTATTTCTCCCGCCAAACAGTAAAGTGACCAATACTGCGTTCCGATTTTGAAGGGTATGGGTGCTGGTGAAATTACATGTACATGGGACTTGAGACTTAAGTCTCAGGCTGACTCTGAGTGGCACTGCAACTGCTAAAGACAGGCGTATCACTTACCACCACGCGCACGACTTGTTCGTCCCGTCATTAGAGGTTAAGTGGTAGCTGACCATGTTGTAGGTTTCCTCATTACGTTTTTAATCTGAAATATTAGATCAAAGCCTGAGCAACAAAATTAAAACATCTTCCCAAGTACAAGTTGAATTGGTCGATGCCTGCATTTCTAGATATTCATAATAATGCAGGTTACTACCAGTCCATCTTAAGATCACCCGTAGGCGGCTTTCGCTTTACAAAGAAGTCGCCTGAGCTCGCTTGACTTCGAAGTGGTTTGTACACATATCACATTCACGTTTTTAATAATTTAAACGAATAAACCCATCCAAGTCCCGAATCCAGTCGAACAAGTCCCTTGTGCATCTATTAAGCCATCAATGCATTTTATCATGACACCAGCAGCGAGGCGTCCATATAACTCGATTTTCACCGGCTTGCCTAAAATTTCTATTTATGTATTAACAAATACTACATTTTGTGCTAAATTTGATGTGTGGAATAAGTTAACCAGTGAAATGAAGTATATAAGTAGCCTTGTGTGCTAATAAGTCGTGTTTAAGTGTCGCAAAGGCGCCATTTTTTCTTAAGTTAGATGTTTTTTGTTTTGGTCTGCACTGCACGACACACACCTAAAGAAGTTCCTGTGAGAACTCCGTGACTTTAATAATGTTAGTACCACTGCGTTTATAAAAACGGAGTCTTATTATTTATCTTTTTTATTTATTAGCTTCTTACCTTTCCATACAATCTTTGACAACTCATTTATAAATAAACATTTTTTCGGATTAAGAATGACTAAGGGTTTCGTCGTAAAGCCCTTTTTTGTGATTAGAAAGCTTCTGTCAACATAGATGAATAGGCTGTTTAGCCTTAAAGGTTCCTTAATTCAAAATTGTTTATTTTTTAAACGTTCCTGCTTTCTTTAAATAGATGTTTTAAAAAAACGTTACTTTTGTCATGATTGGACGTTGACGAGTTCCTTATTTGAGAATGATTTCGAATTCTTTTGGTCTTTGACCAAACTTTAAAAGCACAATGGGTTTTACTCTTTAGACATAAATTCAACTCTCTGCCACTAACAATAAGAACGATCCGTGTCTGCCGTCGACGACTATTAGGTACCAATAAAAAGACTTACCAGTTATATGAAAAACATTTCAAGGACCTTTTTCTTTTTTTTATATGTCACAAGACTTTTTTTGTGTAGTATAGCAACACAACTCTCGTTTCCCCCATTACCACGTTGGCCCAATCAAATGAAATCTTTTATTTCTAACTAATTAAATATAAATTTAAATATTAAACAACATGACATACACTTTGATCTCAAGGAAAGTAATTAAAGCACTTGTATTGTGGAAATTACGACGGAACCACAAACATCCAGACCCGAGATAATATAGAAAGGTTAGTTTCTCCATTGTATGACAGTTTTTCGTTAGTCCAGTTACATCGATCTCTGTTAGTAGATGGTGACGCTATAATAAAAAAATTAAAAGAAACTTCGATAGCTCGTGGGGAGCTGCGGGATAGATGAGCTCGTAAGTAAAAGGAATGGAAGCCGTGCTACCACCAACCTTTATGTCCGAACGTCGTAGAGCTCGTCTTCTTTCACACACTTCACGTGCGGCCGATCACCAATAACGCCACCATGTAATATATTGCGTACGCGGCTCAATGCCGGGCGGAGAAGCGGGATATTTAATTTTAATAAATGATGCGACGTCGCGGATGCGGATTTTTCAGTTCGAATGTAACGTCCAGTAACATTAACAAAGTATTTTTTAATTTCACTGGCGATTTATGTGGCTATGGCGTAGCACGGATTAGGACGGGAAAGGTAAGGAGGTGCGAGCTCAGACAAACTATACCTGGCGTTACCAGTAGATATTTAAAAGTTTAGAGCAGTGAACAGTAATGAAGGAAAATCATTTTCATTCCAAGTTCACCTGTTTTCTTTTTTTAAGTAAAATGTCAAAATCAAGGAACAAACCAATCAGGTAGCTTATCAGTGGCACAAATTAACACCAATAAAAAATAATCGACATCTACATGACCGATGACCGCCAAACTGACATCCGAATCGTTATATAATCGATAAATTAATCGATACGACCTTGACTCGATGCAATTCGATTCGAGTCGTGACTTCGACATCCCATCACCCGATTTGTAAAGATAAGTTTGATAAATGATCGATTTTTCATTATTAGTTGCATAGTTTTGTGAAGTAATGGGGTTATACATTTTGTTGTCTTAATTGATGATTGAATTGGAAGGCTGGAGCTTTAGATTGTAATCCCATTAACGAACTTATTACAATCTTTAAATCGAGCTTTAAATCGCAAAGCTCCGAGAGACACCGACCCTGCGCCCTTCACCCAAGACACAAGTTGACAAGTCACGTGTGCTTGTAATTTCACCAGCACCCTACTCCTTCAAAACCGGAAGGCAGTAGTAATGCTCACATTACTGCATGCTTGTAGAAATAGCTAAGGTGGCAGTATTTCTTTTTTTTAAATATTTATTTAAAAAACCAAAGTCTTTATATAGTGAAGTGTATTTATTAGCAAATATAGTGCACAACGTGCAATTGTATTTTAGAATTATTATATTGTAGAAAGCTCCTTAAACTTAGGCAAAGTTCAAAATGCAAAGGCAAAATTCACCTACCCTATCCACCTTCCTAAGCCGCTTTCTTCCGTAGATACCTTAGGATACATAAAGACCTGATCGTGACCGAGACCACACAACCCAGCAATCTAATTTAAAAGAATTATCTATAAAAAATACTTTTACAAAACTAAAACAAGATCATGTCAATAGTTCAGTGTGCGAAATATAATCATGATTTGTAACATCGTGACGTTCGTACGTGAGTCAAGATTCGGGACGGTCGTGAGCGCCGCAACGTCGCCGCGTGCGCAGGTGATGGCTTAGCGGAAAAAGTGAAATTTGGAAGCAGGTGAATGACGAGACATCATTTTTATAACCGTTTTAATGTTGTTTAGTCTTCATCTTACCGTGAAATATAAAAGGCTATCACTAATAATAGCCCGTAGAATTTGTATAAACATTTTTCTGTTTCTTTACCTTCGTCACCTATGGCATAAATTTGGAGATGACATTGCAGTACTATCGCGGTTACCGGTCCATTGCCCTGGAGTGGTGATTATGCTTACTTAGTACTTTAATTGGTAAGAAGCCAAGTGCTGCGAATGGTACAATAGGATAATGTGGTAGAAATCTTTGTCTCTTTTCTTAGTTACGGACAAAATCGCCCGGTAGAAATCGTCGTCACGTGTCTTTACGGACAGATTCGCCAGTGGAAATTTTAATTTAATTTTTCGTTTCGTTTAAAGTATTTTTAAGTTATTGACATTGGTAAAAGTAACGTCAATTACAGTTATCCACGAATGCAAGTTAAATGAACAAGCGTTTGTAGTTTGTCTGCGGTTATTAAGCATAAGAGCAAAAGTTATCAAAAGGACAAAATGGTTTGAGATTTGGACTAAATGCTATCTCTAAGCCTTTCGACTAAGTGTGATCTCTAAGGGATATCTCGTCTCGTTACTTAATTACGGACAAATTCGTTAAACGTTAATATTGATCTCTTTTCTTAGGTACGTACGGTTTTGTATATTTCTCGATATAGGTACAATTAGAGAGTATAATTTTAGAATATAACTTTTAAGTGTAGGTATAAATATAAAAAATAACATTTTCTATTATTTTCAGCCGTCAGTCGCGAGCGCCCCGCAGCGTGTATTCTTACCGGAGTGCAGTAGCTCCTTCAGTTGCGTCCACGCATCGCTCCAAGGTCTCTAGAAAGGTAATGAACAAGAAAATATTTCTAATTAATCATGATTTAGCAACAAAACGTTAATAAAACATCATGCGTGACGATTTGCATATACGAGAGGATTCATTTTTGCCCGGTCAGCCATGTTTCTTGAAAAATCTTCATAAAGGTGACCTCGTTCTATTTTATGGTTCCTACATCTAATCTCTAAGAGCGGTCACGCACGGCAACTGTTCTCAGTCGCGATGTGACGATACACACGTGCAACTTAAGCAGCGATACAGCTCCCATATCTTTTCTACATAAATTTTGTTAGTAGTAACCCTCCTATCAACCTCTTGGTTATGCGGAAAGGGCGCTATCTTCTATCACGTTGAACCTGTGCGCGCACAGGAACCTTCTAAGTTCAGGTTCTGGCCCCAGATCAGCCAGTATACAGGGTTCTAACAGACCGTTGTCGCTGACTTCATCCGGTTCATAAGAGGCTAGTGCCTCGGGTGAGCGACTCCGGGTACACGTACAGTACCCTCCTATTTTCCAAATAGGTACCGGAGCTGTAGGCACGCTCACTTCTCGTTGCGCGTTGCAAAACTAACGGTTGTCACCACTAAGCCGTCAACTCTAAAATCCACTACCAAATCTCCTCATTGGTGGCGGAGCTGTAAGGCTCGCTCACTTCCCGGCTCTGAAAAACGGCGTCTCTCCGTTGCCCAATAACCTAAGCAGCTGGAGGGACCGGAGGATATCTAGCTAAACCACTGCCGGAGATGCCGGTTGCAGTGTCCTGCGACCATGTCCGGACATAGCTTCCGACTTAAAGGGCAACGCACGTGCCCTGCGCGTCTTCTCGCCTTAGGTCTTCGTCTTCTCGCCTTAGGTCTTCGTCTAGGCCGCAAGTAAGACCCGCTAGCTGCGCACGAGATAGACACCCCCGCCACACACCACCGGGGCAAACAAACATGTCCGTCTCTGCAGCTCACTACAAACCCCAGCGAGTCCATACCCAAGTCCGCGCCCATCAGAGACCCATGAAGGCGTATCAGTTCAGGTGCCTTTTGCGGCCGCTGCAACCAAACGCGTTTTTCGTGACGAGCGCTGTGGCTCAGTCACCAGTAATCACGATCTTCGGCGCGTTTGTTATCAAATTTCGGATTTTGTGATGTTGATAATTGTGCGATCGTCTTTATTTGCTTATCAATCTTTGCTTTCAAAACACAGAATCGCTTTATGCGATAAACCTTCTACAGTCTTTATTAACTCACGGACAAAATTCTCCAACACTATTTGCGACAAAAATACGGAGCACATCTTCACACGACCGCGGGGTGACGGCGAAAAACATAAATCGCTATTGTCGCGATGCAATCACGCGTATTTTCTAAACAAGGAAACTGTCTTAGGAACCACTAAGGCGATTATTACACTGTACCGCGCCCCGCGACGGAGCGCGGAGCTGCGTTTTTTAACGTTGTACTGAAGTATCTCAGTTTGTATGGAAAACACGCGCCGTCGAACAGACTGACAAGTGCAGGGTATGGCACCCTGCGCCCCGCTCTACCGCGCAGATTTTTAAGCTTAAGGACATGTTCAGTTTTCTACAATAGATCTCGACGTCGATAAATTTATATTTGCTATTGAAAATCGACCAAATTGATTTTCATATTTTCTTAAATCTTTGTAATGAAGTTGAAATTATCCATTTATCGATCTTGTTCGTAAAAAGGGGTGTATCCAATATCTTCGGTGTCCTTTTATTTGAGTAAACAAAAACCAAATAGATACTACAACAGCAGCGTCCTGATGAATTCTGTATTATTAACCATTCTTTTCAAAGCAGGATCTTGGTTACATATACAATCACTACGGCGATCAACTGCGCCGCTGGCCGCTGGATCGCTGCCCCCGCGCAGATTAAACCGCGTGTTACAAATACAAATGCGCGATCCGTCTCTAAGGAAAAATCTGCTTTTAGGATTATTTAAATTGTAAGTTAAAACTGTTGCAGGCTGGAGTGAAAGTGGACGCTATGGCCGCCCCAAATCCGTTCTGTCCGAACGTGAAGGGTATGTGCTGCTTGATGCTGCTGCTCAACCTCGGCTTGATCCTCGTCACACTCGGTTTCGTTATCGTGCTGCAGTTCTTCGAACCGCTCTTCGTGTGGTAAGTGTCGACGCAATTATTATTTAGACGTCCGCATTCTAAACACTTATAAATACACGTCACACCCTTACCTCGTACATGTGGGATTAGAGAGTAGGGAAAAACTGACTATAAAATTTAAACGTTAAAACGTTGTACTTTTCGGAATAGACGTGCTTATAAAAGCGTTTCCACTTAAACGCTTTTCAGTTTGAAGCTTACAAAATCGTTTAGAAAAACGTTTTACTAAAGACGTAACGCGAATTGCTGCGATGCGATTTCGTGCGGCAAGGCATCTCACTGCCACGGTTCGGGTAACCATTCCTTTGCCGATCGTCAACCGTACTGAACGTATTTTATAAAAACAAGGTTGCGACATGGGTTGTAAAAAAAGTGTTGCACCGCTGTTGTTATAAGAAAATATAGGAATAAAACACAAAGAAGATTAACATCGCAGGAATGCGCGATGCGGAGCAATTCGCAAATTCTTGCGACGTGTCGTGCGAGCTCGTAGATTTCTGCGATGCAACGTCGCATCGCAGTTTTGTGTTTCGACGCAAATATCAAAGTTTCGCCTTAAATGTAGATATCGCTGATCGATAGCCTAGAAGTAGTTTATATTATATATACAGCTATGGATATCAATTAATTTCTCTTTAATATAAAACATAAGACGCCATTTTTTTTTCTTTGTAATATTACTAAAATATTGATCATGAGCTAAAATTAACTTCTGAACTTCGACAAATATGCGTGTCAATAGATGGCATTGTGTGTTAAAAAATAATTTATAAATTAACGCTTCCTAATATGGGTAGATGGCGCTAATCCTAAACAAAATAAAAGAATAGCCGGCCCTATCCATAAAAAATTGTGCAATAAGCGCCATCTAGCTGATTCGTTTGTTATCAGTAGAAATTAGACTAGCTTGCAAATGTAAAACAAATTAGTTACAAAAACAACTAATTGGCACTCGTCGCGACATCTGTACCAATGGGTACTAAATAAACACCCGATTGCGCTGTCATGAATCGCGATTAGCTCTGAAGTTGCTAATACCAACAAAATTATCTCAAAAAGACTACAGTCCAACGCAAAAGTGAATAAAACCTCTTTAGAAATAGTACAAAATGTTACATACTTTTTAACACGAAAATTTCATAAGAAAGTCAAGCAAAAACCAGTTTTCCACAGTCAATAGTGTGAATGGATGGAGTATGAAATATTCTTCCCACTGTAACTACCGGCACACTTTAATCTAGCACGGTGCGTCAACAATTGAATCAGGGCTGTCACACGCCTTTGTTATTTCCAAATTTCTAAGATAAATTAGAAAAAACAGGCCAATGTCGGAATATAATATGTAGACAATCGAACGTTAACCACGTCTGAATATTAATACCCAGTCTTATCACATTGAACGTTGATCAACCGTAGCTACATACTTGGATTAATTAAATTGTTTGAAATTTCAAACTAGTTCAGAGGCGAAGAAGGGTAATTGAACGTAATTTTAAACAAAGAATCTGATAATCCGTTCCGTGACTTAGTTGGCATAGCGTCTGGCACGGTTTGCTAGGAGACGTCGGTTGAAATCCGGCCGGATCGAAGGAATTTTTTCGTATTAATGATTATAACAAACTAGCGGAGTAATATCAATTCAATGAAAAATTAATTACAATTAATAGAGTCATCTCTAGCCAGGGCCGATAGCTGTAAATGTGACTGGCTGACGAAAAACTTTCATACATTTCTCATAGATGGCGCTACGGCTAAAAGTCGTTGAATAACAAATACAAAGATCCGACAACAAGCACATAGAAAAATTCGTAACATGCACTGGTTTGTTCCGTGGCTTAGTGTCTGGCACGGTTTGTTAAGAGACGTCGGTTCGAATCCGGTCGGATCGAAGAATTTTTTTTCTAAATGATCGATCTTTGTATTAATAATTATAACAAACATCTGAATTAAAATTTATACTGGCAATTAAACTTTTGATCTTAGCTATGTTGTAGAATTCATTTACACTACTGATGACATGATTGTCAAAAGCCAAAAGGTATTTCATGTCTGTCACTCATTATGTATAAAGGCATTTTAACTGCCTCCGTGGCCGAACGGTTACCATGCTGGACTGCCACGCAGAGGTCCCAGGTTCGATTCCCGGGCCGGGAGAAATGTTTGTATGGCTTACATTTATTTCTCTCGTGAGTTTGGGTGTAATTTGTGGTTGTCTATGTGTGTGTACATGGTACCCGCGACACAGGGTTTCCCTAGTGCGGGGCTATGTTGAGTGTGTGCGTTATTTATTTATTTATTATTTAAAAAAATTTAACTTTCTATATTGTACAGTCGGTCATAATAATATTATTAATGTTATTATGACCACATGTTTATTCAACTGCCTCCGTGGCCGACCGGTTACCATTCTGGACTGCCACGCAGAAGTCCCGACTTCGATTCCGTGACCGGAACAAGATTTGTATGACCCACATTTATTTCACTCGTGTGTTTGGGTGTAATTTGTGGTTGTCTATATGTGTGTTCATGGCACTCGCGATACAGGATCTCGTTAGTGCGGGGCTATGAGTGTGTGCGTTATTTAATTTACCAAATTATTTACATAGCGTTAAAAAATAGTCAAAAAGTTTTGCTTTTAAATGAAACCCAAGCAATACTTTAAAAGCGACAACCCTAGTGAAAGTCGATAGTAGAGCATTAAAAATCACTTTGCTCAAACGCACTAACGGTGCATATAATTCGGAATGAGCAAATTTCGAACGATTCGTGACAATTTTCGCGGGTCATAGGGTAAACCTACTTTTGCATCGGACCTTGCTTGGGTAAACAAAACCACATACTATTCGACGTTTTGTTATCGCAACAAAAGCCGCCAAATCGTCTCGCTTTGTCACACACTACTTTGTGTGAACCTCCTACATTCAAATGAGAATAAAGAAATCACGACAAATATAACGACACAACTTTCTGGACGAATACCTGATATAATAACTGAATGTAGGTTTCCAAAATTCTTCGGGAAATGAATTTGATTTGGCCAACATTAATATTCCGCTACTTACAAAAAAGACTTGGCTTTAAGATTAGAATATACATTAATTGAGAATGGATAAGGGCTTATAGCATAAGGGTATTATGGATTACAAACACAAAACTCTGGACAAATCGAAAAAACAAATAGAAAATTAATCACGATCATTATTTTTAGAATTACTTGGTTACAAATTAGGTTCCGAAGTACATATTTTTTAAGCGCTTCGATATCTGTCTACTGCATGTGCCACATTTCAGGATCAATACAGTACAATGTAAACTGATCATCGTTTACACTGTACCGCATTCTCCATAATACAAATATTTTTCACCACAGACAATTCCCTAATGAATAATTATTTTTATTTCAGGATCCTGGGTATAGTTTTCCTCATATTCGGCTTCATCACTCTGCTGGGCAGTTTGATCTACTGCGTAGTTCTTTGCAGAGAAAACCCCTATCCCCGGTACCCTGACGATTTCTACTGGACCCACCATTGGTCGAAAACAATAGGACCATCCGAGATCCACTACAGTGCTAGTGAAAAACCGTATAGACAAAACGGACATAGTGATAGGTATAATAAGTATAATGGTAAATATTCTGATAGAGAAAGCGCTAAAGGGTATTCAGACAGAGAAAGCAAACTAAGTAGGTACTGAGAAAGTGTCTGTATGTTTTAAATCGGTGCTAAAAATACCAGTGGCAGTTTTCAAACGCAATTCCTGATTTTTGCGCGGGAAAATGTAACATCCGCCATGTTAAACATAATCCGCAATTAGGGAAATAATACAAAGAACTACATTTCATTACTCATTAACGTTTTGTGATAATAAAACTGTAAAATGAAGTTTATTCGTAACAGCTTCGTTAATTTTCAATACATAATACTTACCTGAAATCAAGTAACGGCATTGTAAACGTGTAAGGAACACGTATATATGTAGTTTACAGTAAGCGCGTCAAGTTATCGCTTCTGCCGAATATACTTAATTATTTTTAAGATGTATTTTGTAACTTAATTGTAAATAATAATATTAATTCTTGACACTCGAAGAAGAATGCCATATTAATTATATAGATATTTAAAGTGTTTTGTAGATTAAAATTGTTAACAATAATTTTATTTACTATGTACGCTTTCGGTGAATATTATTATATTGTAATTGAATTATTTTTACAAAATAACCCTGTGTAAAATGTGAAATTAGATAACAATAATTGTGAGTTAAAAAAATTAATCTTTTCATTAAATATGTACCTACGAATATTACTTAGTTGATGTATTATTTTAAAAACCTTCCGCTGAAATCGCGTTCATGCTGTTATTTATTACTTCTCATGTGATTTAAGTTTACTTTCAAATGCAATTATGTGTGAAACATTAATCGTTACATATCAAATCGACCCCTCCTACGTAAAGTATCGTATGTCGAAATTGCCAAGTTTACAGGGAAGCGTTTTAAAATTCTCCGTTTTATTCGGCAAAGCTCGTTACTCAAATAGAGTGATCATCCAACACATCCTCTAACCGATATCTAGGATTTTATGATACTCTATGTGAGTAGCGAACTTTGTCGAATAAAACTGAGAAATGCTAAAGTCACGTGTTTTGCTTATTTCAGTGAATTCAGAATATTTAAAAGGCTCCTCTGTAAACTTGGCAAATTCGACATACGATACTTTACGTCGGAGGGGTCGAAATACTCGAAAGCGATCGTGTTTCATTTTCTGAAGTTCCAGGAATGGCTTTTGACATTAGTCATGAGTTTTCTAGTAAGCAAAAAAGTCGTTATTTTTCGTCGAAGGAATTTTTCTATTAGTTCGATCTTTGTACTTTATTGGTAGGTCAATGTCTTTATACTAATAATTATAACAAACTAATAGTCGTCACAAAATAAGAGGCACCTTTTCATACTCGCAATCGCTACTTAAATAGGGATGTAACTAAACATGTCGGTAACCATATTGATTGATTCTCACGAGAAATAGATTCAGAATCTTATAAGTCGATGATCATTAAGAATATTTTTCGGGTCTTTGGTTTTTAGTTCTAGATATAACAATTACCATACATAGTTTAATATAAATAATAAGTAAGTATATTAAATGGTTACAGTGAGAACCTGTAGTTGTTGTTATAGCGCATTTACATTAACAAAGTTCACAAGGACAACTTGTAGTTAAGTAACAAAATTCTAAAACAAAAGAAAACAGACTTCATAATTTAAAAAACTTTCATAGTTTTACAATCCTGTGGACTCTCATTTGCAACTAGAGAGCACATTACGATTCGATTTTCATGAAAATCGATACAAATATTTGTATAGATTCATTTAAATGTTATTTTTAACCGAATCGATTCAATGGAAAGGCAAAATGTGTAAGCAAGCAATAAACATTTTGTGATAATATCAACAAACCGATTTACATTCATTTAGTTGTAAATATATTTTGGTCTCGATTTCGAGCGTTAGTGGGATTTAACCCTTTAACAAAGAGCCGGCTTAAAATCCGGGTGCTTGCCCCATCTCAGGTGATATTCAATAAACTCCCAACTTTATTTCCCTTACAAATGAATTCCAGACACTGACCAAAACGAACTAGTTTCTCTTGCACGATCTTAATAGTTCACGGGTCTTTCTAGTTTGGTAGGAACTGTCTGCATTGCGGATCCAAAAACGCAACCTGTCTATTAGTTCGTAAGAACGGTGCTAACGGGAAAATCCGCAATTTTTCACTGCTTTTAGCACAAGTTCGAGTGAAATGCACCACAAATACAAAATTGTATTCTCAAATATTTAGTAGACTATTGACCTAATAGTACTAGAAGTCTGAGGTAGTTCATTTTAAAAGTACATACATACTACTTTGGAGCTTTCATTCAATATCCGAGCAAAAACAAAACGAACTAAATGAAGTAGAAGGCCGAACTAGTTCCGTTGACCAATTGAACTAGATCGGATAACTTACTTTAAATACCGAGCAGATCAAGTATAATTAACATTTCGCTGTCAGACTGGCTTTCAAAGGTGGTATGTATAGAACGTTAAGTTGTCTACCCAGCATGACTAAAAATGCATAATTATGATTTCAAATAAAACTCAAAAAGTCAAAGTTGTCAATTTATTTACAAATAGTAACTAAACAAATTGTCGAGACATAAAAAAGAAAGAAGAAGTAAAAGGGTACCATCATGAGTTTACAGTAACAAAAATAAGTCATATATTTGTATAAAAATGTTACTCGTTGTAACCGCTAGGGGCGCTGAACAATTCGCCGTATAGAATTGTGAATTTCGCGGTCGGACAAAATTGTCACTGTAATCTCAAGTTAAAGGCATAGAACGACAGATTACATCAACGTAAACTAATAATTATATACGGCATTTTTAAAATTTTCTTAATTGACATTCAAAACAAAGTCAGTTCGTTAAATTAAGACGATTACTTGTACAAGATGCTTAAAACGGATAGTCAGAAACCAATCCATGAGACACCAAAATAGCCTCTTAATATTAGAAATGGTACTTAGCCCTGAACTATGGCACCAAATTCTAGATTAGCACAGAGCTATGGTGCCAATGTCCACAAACTTACAACAAAATCGTGGCTTAAAATACGGGCGTAACTGATAATTCAGCTGAAAATTAATTATTTATTTAACAACACAAATTCTGAAGCGTACTATGCATTTTTTAAGTTACATACGTTCATCAAGGGAATGGTGTAATATTGTAACACAATGAAAAGGCTTATACGTATATAATCGAAAACAACCGGTAATAATACATTATTGCCCGTTTGTTCTAATTAATTGTTTGTTAAGGCAATTAGATTAATTTTGTTTTATCGTTGTTGTCCGTTTACCACTTTGCCTCTGACAAATAAAACGAAAAGAAATCACTTAAAGGACAATAAAATATAAGCAAAGATTCATATGATAGCATATCGATAGAAATATCGTTAAACCGGTAATGGTAGTATAAATTTCGATAAATCAGTCAATATTTAAATTTATTATTTTGAAATAATAAGTCAGATTTACCTCGTTGTAGAATACGACTTAGGAGTTAGACATCTTGAATTAGGGGGATATTGTAATCATATAGTAACAAACAACCAGTACAATCAATACATAAAACGAAATTCCAGATATTGTAACGACATTTTAATAAAATATAAGGCGTTAACAAATATTTTTATTGTAGTTCCTTTTCTAGACAACATAAATTCAAACTGGTTTTGTTGATAAAAATTCATCTACAAAAAATGTAAAAATTATGGAATGAATTAAATTAAAGAATATTCACTAAATTATATTTATATTGCTAAGTACACATTAAAAGAAATAAAACTTTTATTTGACTGGTCACACAAAGAAATAGGCTCAATTTATATTGCGGCGGCAAGTAATGGAAGCGATTTTTTGTACATAGCATAATGAACGTTATTCATTCTCGGGCTTGCGCCAGAATTCCGCGGAAGATTTTGGCTCATACCTACTTTATACATTACACAATTGACCATAAAGTTAATTATGCGATATATAATATCGTCACTTCCATTCCGTTCCGCCGCAATGTAAATTGAGCCCCAGCAAGCACAGTACTGCGATCCTGTTGCATGTAGATTTAATTCTTTAATCATGTGTACAATAAATAAGTATTACATTACGATACAAAATGCCTTAATTATAAATGAATTGTCGTGAATAAATTACTCAGAAAATCAAATTAAGAAAATGATATTTCAAAATATTGTAATAAAAATTTAAATATTTACAATTTCTTTTGACGTTACAAGTCATTATTTTTTTAATTGCTTATTACCAAATAGAGAGTGGTAAATAGACTAATAACAAAATGTAAAGATAGAAAAAATGTCAAACAAATGAAAGAACAATTCAATAAAATTTCACAAGATTCTACTAAAAAAAACTAAAAGGAAAAAAACGGCCAGCGCTGCAAACGTACAATAAATGTACTTCCGTCTATTGATAATAATTTGCAATTTAATGAAAAGCAAATTTAAAAAAAACATCTTTCCAATTTGTCTTTGAGCTTAGTGCGAATAACTATTTTATAAGTATAATATTAGATAATACTTAACACCACAGTAATTGTGCTTAAGTAAAAAATACATCTACGAAATCGTATGGACTCACTCACGAATCGAAGTTACTGCAAATAACGTGTCAAAAATTCAAAAAATTTATAAAAAATATTTATTTCAATACAGTTCGAGAGATTCGAATAAGGGGAGTTAGGAAATGAGAGTAAGTCATTTTCAGTAACATACGATGTCGAAACTTTGCTTGCCAGTATTCTCTAGCTGATTACTGCATGGTATTCACTTATTCCTGTAACAACGGAAATCACATTGAAAAAATGTTAGCATATTTTATGGTATGAAAACATTCTGCTTTTTTAAAATCTTTATTTGTTTAAAGAGGGTTTTACAAATGCCACCCGCAAAATGTTTCTCTTAATTCAAACATTGCTTAGGATAGTTCTCTCCTTAACTAATTTATATCATAGTTTCCCAAAGTAGTCCCTACCGCCCCTCAGTGGGCGCCGAAGAGTCCTACAGAGGCGGTAGGGCCTCCAGTGGGACACATTGCTTCCGATCACCCCCTGGTGCTACAGCATTCGAAAAAAAAACCTGGATCATCTATTTATATTTCACAAATATATATAAATTATTTTCACCGTGATTTTTTGTGTTAAGTTAGTCAGTGACCGTCAGGATGGCTGGTCGCCTGTCGCATCTGGCACTTATGGAGTGTATATTAAAGAATGGCTACCTATTTGCCACTAATTGTTACCTTTTCTAAATAATTGTTACCTTTGATATATTCTGAGAAATTAAAAAATAATTGACCAGCAATTCTGACGTCAGGATGGCTGGTCGCCACTTTGTTCAGCATGAAAGGAGTAGAGTTTCCAGTTAATAATTGGTAGGTAGGTAAATAGGTAGTAATTCAAAAATCAAAAATGAAGAAGCTCAATACTTTAAATAGTGGTTCGAGGTTGAGACTGACGAGACTCCCTTTTAAATATGGCACTGTTATTACAATATTGTTGTAACTCAAAATGTGGGAAATTCAAGATTATTATCGTTGCTCAAAATAAAATTTGATTCTCTACACGTCAACGAAACCGTCGTTAGAATATTGTAAGAAACAATTAAAAGATATCTAGTTAACTCAAAGTGAGACTAACTTTATGTGAGCTCGTTCTGCCCAAAACAGTCCTTACTCAAAAATATGACATAATTTTTCGCTTAGGTATATTTTTAAATATATTTGGGAAGTAGGAAATTGTTTAGACGACTGTAATAAACATTAACGTGTACATAAAATAAATATTAATGATCTATCTCGGGAAATTAGTAATTCGTTTATCATTGATTCTGAAAAAAATACACTTTTTGAGTTAACACACTATTGCATTAACAGTGCGTATTTGTGTATACTTGTGCTAGGTATCAAAAAACGCCGTGGCGCCATGTACAACGTAGTAGATAGATAGAGCTCTACTGAACAGTAGAGTTTCCAAAAGTACAATCACTCAAAATATTGTTACCCTCCACACAAACCCGTAGCAAAAGGCGAAAGATTTATACGTTTTGAGGGGAAAACAGAAAGACAACAACTAATAAAACGACACACAGGCGTTGACCCAACCAAAACAGGCATATTCTTAACACCGCGACGCAGAAATTGCGAAAAATGGTATAGTGCCATCTAGTGGATATTTTATGAACTAAAGTTGAATATTATGGAAGCTCTTGTATCGGAAGCGTTAATCATAATTAACATGATATTATATGTTCTTGCAAGGTAATAAAATATTTAAAAGAATATTACTTTCAGAATATGTTACCCGTCTTGGAGCTTATAACACTTAATAGTTCCCTGGTTTATCTATTTATGCGCATTTATAATTTAAATACCATTGTTTTAGTGCTCTGTATTTAATTCCATGAAAATAATTAATTATTTTTAACAGATTTCAAAAAAAGGAGGAGGTTCTCATTTCGACTGTATGTTTTTTTTTTTGTATGTTTGTTACGCGATAACTCCGGTTAATTTCGGTTTAGTCCGGATCATTTGTGAACCGATTTTGATGATTATTTTTTTGTTGGAAAGAGGGTACCATTTAATTTTGAAGCAAATATCCACCTGTAAGGGTGGCTGTTCACATATGAACTTTTTTTTTTTTTAAATAGCGCCTAACTTTTATAAGGAGCAATTATTTTAATAATTGATTTTGCTATGCTCCAATTAAAGGCATTTTTCTCTCTCAATATACTTTAAGCGGTGAGCACCGATTTTTATTATCTCCTGTGTTAAGTCACGTACATGGTCCTAGACCGAAGCCGGATTCTGTCTACCTGGATTCAAGAATATGTAAGCTGCAAAAAAAGAAAATAAGTGAACTTAACTGCTAGTCGTCAAGGTCGTGGATGTAGGCTGATGAAGGTGTACGTAGCCTTTTTAAACGTTTGACAACAAAGGCTATCCACATTGAACTGGTTGGCGACTTGACAAGCAATAATTATTTATCAGCATTGCGCAGATTCATTACACGTGGAAACCCAAAATCGTATATTCCGACAATGGTCTATCATTTGCTAGTGCTTATAACGACCTTTAAAATTTTTATAAAAGTAATCGTGATTCGCTGTCGTCGGAGGCCGCCAATGAAGTAATAAATTTCTGTTTTATTCCAGCTTATTCACCACAGTTCGGAGGTGTAAAGGAGGCTGATGTAGAATCGGCCAAATATCATTTACAGAGTGTTGGGCAATTGTAATTTAACTTTTGAACACCTTTATAACAACTTGTTCATTTGTACTTGTTCAAATTGAAGCAATCCTCAATTCACGACCACCTTACCCCTCTCTCAAGCGATCCAGAAAACCTAATGCCATTCGTATATTCCCAGTAGTTACATGTACTCAGTTCCATGTAGAACAATTGTAACCTTAACATGTCATAATTGACACCAGGACATTTCATCATAAGTAAACCGCTCACTTCCTTGCCAAGTCAGGTTTATCAAGATGTGCAAAACAATCGCTTGAATCGTTTCCAGCAAATTGAAACACTTCGACAACATTTTTGATGCAGATGGAGCAAAGAGTATGTCTCAGAGCTTCACCTGAGGACTAAATGGCGTACTTGTACAGACACGTTGAAGATGAACGGTCTAGTAATTCAAGATAAGGACAATCTACCACCGTTAAAATGGAAATTGGGTCGAGTAGTAGCTATGTATCCTGGCTTCTACAGGAATTGTAAAATCCTTTTGAAAAATTTGTCAACTTCCTGAAGTAAGTATTACTGGCTGAAATGCAAGCGTTCAACGAAAGGCGGAATGTTCACGCATGAAGACTTATTTTTGTAAATAGCGCCTAAATTTTATAAGGAGCTATTAATTTTAATTGTTGATTTTGCTATGCTCCAATTAGAGGCGTTTTACTCTTAATATACTTTAAGCGGTGAGCACCGATTTTTCTTATCTCCTGTGTTAAGTTCCGTATAGTAGCAAACTAGGGTATGAATCCGGTTTTGCGCACTTTCCAGTAAGTGGTAAAAGTTTCAATGAAACTTGGCAAATAGACGTAATTCCATGAACTTTTCAGGTCGGTTTTTTTAGTACTCTTTACTGACATTATGCACAAATACAAATGACGAAAATATAATATGTCCTATAGATTGTAAATAATCTGTGAATGCAGAGGTCACTAGAGATAACCAGTAAGGTCCATTTATTTCTATATTATTCAATACAGTCCACTTCATGGAAAACAATAACTGTCGCTGGCTAGTCGTATTCGCACAGACGACACACGTTTAGAGCTTTAGCAAAAATTTGTTTATTGATTTACTACAAATAAGTTGTACGATCTGTGCTTACCTGTTAGATTAGGCTCTGGTAGGCCAATCTGCCATCCTAATCGCTGTCCGAGCCGCTGTCCAGCTCGCGGTACGTCTTGGCAGTCTTCACGCGCGCGTTGCTCTTAGCCGCGACGGGAGGAGGGCTCCCGCGGAAATCGAAGTCTGACTCGTCATCGCTCGAGTTCTTCTTCGCTTTCTTCTTAGGATTCGCTTTTTTCTGTTTACTCTGAAATATAACAAAATATCTTTTTCAAATTTTTAAGTACTAATCAAGTAAAGAATTATGTTTTCCAGTGCTCATCATAAATTTGTATTTTCGTTTCTTTGACCTACAAGTGTTAATTATTACTAGAGTCTGACTGGATACTTATAACACTAATAACTATCGACCCTGTTACAAAAAACTCCTTTTGAGCCATAGTTTCCCTAAGTGGTTCCTACCGCCCCCCAGTGGGCGCTGAAGAGCCCTAGGTAGGGAGGGGCCTCGGAAGCCGTTGGGGGACGTTGATGCTGACCATATAATTTTTCCCTTGTCATTTTTTGTGTTAAGTTAATATAAAAAATACGTGCTTTCAATTATTGTTTGTGGTGGTAGGCGTTGAAATTTTTTTAATCTTGTTTAAGTAGGCGGTGGCCCAAAATGTTTGGGAACCCATGTTTTAAACTATAGTAATGTTGTCGCGAATTTAGCGTTATAGTATTAAAGCACAATATTACATTTTAAACATATATAAAGAACGTTTTTATAACTAGCTGCTAATTCTCCAGGAGATTTTATGCTAATGTTATGGACAGCTTTGAATTTACATTCTCTAACTATTACTATATAATAAGGCCAGGTTTAGGTTGGTGATCGCTCTGAAGCGAGAATAATGTCAGTGAATTTCATGAAACTCACCTTTTTACTATCAAATATGCTATCTTCCTCGCTATCCAAGCTCAGTACTTTTACGGGTCGTTTCTTGGGCTTTTCTTTCTTTTCCTCTTTATCGGAGTTCATGATTTTCCCCTTTTTGGCTGGAGCCTTCTTCTTCGGCGGGGATGCAGGTGGGGAAGGTGCGACGTCAGAATCACTCGACACAGCAGTGGTGATGATTTTGTGATTGGCCGATCTCTCTTCTTCGCGCTTCGACACCTCGATTAGGGAGTCGAAAAGACAATCTAGAATATATAAGAAATTAAATAATAAGGTCGCACATTGGCATACACTTGTAAGATATCTGTAAGATGTGATAATGGGTGAAAATGTAAAATAATCGCCTTATTCAACTCGCAATTCAACGGGGTACATTTTAACATTGTGCAGTTCCAGATACGCAGAGTCCATTTTAGGTCTAGTTCAATATACCACCGTTAAGACCATCTACACGGGTTTCTTTCTTTTCTTGCAAGAAAAGCTTAGAAAATAAATTCATCACATCAGAACTCCATCAAGTAAGTATTTATTATTAATTAGGGTATGATAATCGGATAGGGAATTTCATGAGGAAAACAGTGATGTGAAATTTGTTAAAATCAAAATCTAATCGAATTCTATGCATTTTTCTGATGTCATTGAAAACGGAAACGCAATTTTTGTAATTAATCAGGCACTTAGAAACACAAGAAGCACAAGACACTCGGTTAGAAAATTGTACGTGCTGTTAATCATTATGAAAAAACATAAGATTGTACCATTTGACGCAAATGTGGACAATAAAAGGAGGAAAGATAAGGTAGCTTTGGTTCCCAACTGTAAAACCGTATTTGCCAATAAGCAATACACTAGATGCTCGGCCTATCTATATAATAAAGTAAACACAGAACTACAGATTTATAAAAAAACTATTTATGAGTGCAAATGCTTGCTAGTGAAATGGTTGAAAACCCTTAGTTATGAGAATGTTGAGATATTTTTGCAATAACGTTCTAATAGGTACAACAACCACTAACTAAAAAACTCTTTCTTTAATCTACACCTTACAATTACAAATAATACAATTCTAATCACAGTAAAATTTATACTAATTGAATATTCGCCGCATTTATTTGTATATATAACACGGAAGAAATACTGTATATTAAATTTGACTCAATGTGTATATATTTATATGTCTGTATATCTTTCGTATTTATGTAATATATATTTACTTTAAAGACATCAACCTACTCTGTATAAATATGTAACCCAACCACTGTTTCAAAATAATAAAACTAATATAAATGCTCTAATTACCTGTACTATACAATTTAGAAATTTGTAAATTAGATGTAGTAAACAGATATGGATGTAGAAGAGCGGAGTCTCCTAACACAGGCATTGCTATGCTTAAAAGGAGATTCCAGTCACTAATACTGTAAATCTAAACTTGAATTGAAATAAATGATGATTATTATTATTATTATTACTTGTTAAGTATAACTTATGATGAATTTATTTTCTAAGCTTTTCTTGCAAGAAAAGAAAGAAACCCGTGTAGATGGTCTCACATGACATAAGACGGCTTAAGTCATAATTATTATAACTGCGCACTCAAAGCACTTGTGCAGAAACACAAAACTAATGCTAATTCGCAGCGCAGAAAACTGCAACGCGAATTGCTGCGATGCGATTTCGTGAGGCAAAGCGCCTCACTGCCACGGTTCTGGTGATCATTTCTTCGACAATCGTCAACCGTACTAAACGTATTTTTTAAAACTAGGTAGCTACAGGGATCCTATAAAGAGTGTTGCACTGCTGTTATTAATAAGCAAATATAGGAAAAAAAACACAAGAAGATTAACATCTCACCATTTCTGCGATGTAACGTCGCATCGCAGTTTTGTGTTTCGACCCGTCCGTTCAGTTTACAGTCGTGTAGTTCAACAATGATTTGTATTTCAGGAGGGATAGTTGAAAATAGACCAAAACAATTTTGCATAACGCCTTCTGCCGCTCTTTGCCACCTGAGTCCAGGCTTTTATCGTGCATTCCAAATCATAGAGTTCAACATACCTGAATCCATCTCCGAGGGTTTCTTGGCTACATTCTTCTTGACATTGAAATCATCATCATCGTCGCTGATCGACATGGCCCTCTGCGGTTGATCGCCGTCTGAATCCAGCTTATTGTCGAGCAATTCAACATCAGACCCGTCTGATTCGGAGTCTTCGCCATCTTTATATTTTTGTACCTGTAAGTTGGTATTGTTAACAATGTGTATATGTTTTATAAGAAAAAAACTACTTGTGTAACTCGCAAACGTTTCGTTTTAAATATATTTTTCACTTCACGAAGCAGAAAGGCTTTCTTTGTTTGTTGTCTCTTTAGAAATATGCGGGCATTAGCATTTTTTCCACGCCAAGTTTTTGAGATTCGAACTTGACTATGGACTGTGGTCCACCCAACTTTTTCCTTCCTTACACGTTCAACTACGCGATTTGTCGTACATTATTTACGTAATATAAATCCGTTAGTATATTTTATGCTTATAATTGTTGACATTCAATTGACAACGATAACTAATTTTGTTTAAACTGATTTCTTATAGTTCAAATGTTTTTCTTTCATCTACTATTTTTTTCGTTACAGTGTGGTGAAACGTGTGTTTCGCTCGGCAGCAAAGGTCTTTTGCATTTCATGCCTTGAAACCCTCGCTACGCTCAGGATTCTGTTTTTGAACCACTCGCGTCAAACAACAACTTTGCAGCCTTGCATAACAAATAACTATTATTATTTTGAATAGATCTCTCTAGCGCAATGAGTTCAGCTCACTTTGGTCGCGGCGCGGCGCACATTGGTTCTCTCCCGCGGTGCAGGCGCAGGTGCGTCCAAGGTCTCCACGTCGGAGTCAGACATCTCGCCGGAGCTGCTGCCGCTGAACGTCATCTTCTTCTGTAAACGCAATACTCTTTTTAACCACTGCATGGCGACTGGGTCGACCCTCTAATTACAAACTTCGACTGTTGTCAGAAATTTAGCTACGTCCACATTTTTGCCAAAAAAAAAGGCTTTACAAACAAAACATGTTTTTTGAATACTTTATGTTCTATTAAAATCGAATTAAATTTACTACGCAATATAATTTTAATTATGTTTCATAGGTAACAAAGCATAGTGCCTAACTACTGTCGAGAAATTTACAAACACACGATTATATTGAATTAAAAAAAAAGTGTCACTATTTTGGAAACTAAAGAATGAAGTATTATTGTAGACCGTTTTCATTCTATTTTGAGACATGTAAACTAATGGTATCAAAACTTGCAATAAAAGATTAAAGACCACAGGAACACCAATTACCTCGTCTCAATCATGGGGATGTACTATAATGAGTACTACCGATAGTCAAACCCGGAACAATCTTATTAGCAGCCACATGACTATCCGCTCGGTCACCGAGGAAGTAAAAATCAGTGTTAGAAGATCCTGTTACTTCATCGCCAACGTTTCATTTACATTTTGTTATCAATGAAGATTTTCACTTCGTAAAGTTTATCTGAACATAGGTCTCCTCTGTCTAGAGAGAATATTAAATTAAACTTTGGCCCTGAACTATTGTGGACTAGGCACTTCATATCATTAGATCTGCAATGATGCGGTGATGCTTACATATGACTAAGGTGACCTTTGAAAAATACGTCCGGGCAAGTAATATTGACTGATAGTGGCGTATAGGTTCTCACCTTCTTAGGCTCCTTCTTAAAAGTAAGTTTGGTCTGTTTAAGCCCATCAATCTTCTCCTTTTCCGGTTTTTCAGATTTCTCAGGCTTTTCCGGTTTCTCCTTCTTCACACGTCCTTTGGGCTTCTTCTCCGCACCCGCTGGACTGACTCCAGTCGGGTCATCCTTACAATACAATACATTATAATTTGAATAAATATTTATAGGCAGTCTTAACAAAACTAAAACTAAGTTACATGAATCGAATAAAGTTAATATGAATAATACGTTGGGCTCTTTCTACCAAGTAGCAGTCGAGCTCCTTTTGAAAGGGTTCGTGTAAGATACTGCCACCTTACCTATTTCCGCCGCCAAGCAGTAATGTGAGCATTTTCTGCGTTCCGGTTTGGAACGGTAAGGGTGCTGGTGAAATTACAGGCACATGGGACTTGTCAACTTATGTGTCAGGGTGACAGTGGCAGTGCCCATAAGATCTTTGCTATTTAAAGCTCTGAATGGCACTGCAACTGTCACTTCGTATTATATTAAAAAAAAGCGATTATGATTGATTTTTTTAGAAATTTTTTAGACATTTCAAAACCACCATCCGACATAACATTTCAGTCTGAAGGACAGAATACTTGAACCATAGAGAACTAACAGACAATGCACTTCAGATTGGCTTTCAAGTTCCCACGATGCATTACTTCGACGCCTGAGCAGTGACGCCGTGTTGTACTACATATAAATTAGAACTACATGTCGCATGGTGCGCAGGAGACGGAGCAAGGGGAACTGCGGAGCGACGTCGGCGTAAGCTGCGTTATGTTGCGCATTGCCCGTGTGGCACTTGGTGCATTCATTTAATAGCGATGCGACGACGCAACGCACCGGTAACGCACGTGTAGCATCGCTCTTAGAAGTAACACGGTAGACTTTTTTAATCTTAAAGATTGCATGAAACTTACCGGATCATACTCCTTCTTAGTTTCCTTCTTAATTTTGGCCTTCTCAGCTGCTTGTATCCTCTTGATGAGGTCTTCTGAGATCTTGGGCTCGACTCGGCGTCCGTTGTCCGAAGGAGCAATTTCCATTAAGGATTTACGGCTCTTTTTGTTAGCGGCCTGAGTGGAGTGATTTATATATATATTCACATATTATTGCACATATAGTGGAGGGAGCGATGCAAGCATGCCAGGAACGTAGCAACTGGAGAATTTGAATACAAGCGTGACGATAATGCTTATAAAATTAAATATCAGAAAAAGAAATTCTTTAAAGCGTTACCATTTTCTAGTTACACACATTCTTCGATATAAAAATGAGAGATTCTTAAAACATTATTCAATAAAATTCACAGGGAACCGATATCTACGTGAACAAATTGATCACAGAACGTAGAGGCCTATAAAAGGTGTCTCCCGGCTATGGGACACGAAGAAAAAGTCTTTAAATATTGTAGATATGACATTTTCCTTCGTAGAGATTATTACTTTGTAAGTAAATCTGCACTCAAAAATTTTTAAAAAGCAGCTTGCCTGTTCTGGAAATCGAACTGACAAAAATCATGAGAAAGGGATTCATTCCTTATAATCTTCTCATAATTTATTTTTAAGTCTTTGAATGCTGTAATACTTAATTTTAAAAATAAAATAACGTCTCCATCAAGCAAAATATCTTATTTAGAAATTTAAAGTACTTGCCCTCCAAGTCCCACAAACGGGAGACTCCCTGTTTACCACACTACGATAAGATAATGGAGATTAAGTACCTTCATCCTTTCCATCTGTTTCGGAATTTGCGAGCATAACAAAAAGTATACATAGTTTACAAAATACTGTATAACGATATGATAACCGACGATACGAAAAGTTACCTTTTATATATCCCCCGGTGAAACAGTGACTTACCCTACATTTGCAAAATTTTACAATTACTACTTAGGGCTTTACTATTTTAGGGCTACAGAGCACATTTAAAGAGATAGTTATATTATTTCAATAAACATTGCACCCATTACGGAAAAATGAAATAATACAGAGTGTATCTCTGTCTTTTTCTTGTTTTTTTGTGTGAAAATGACATCAAATTTTTTGCAGTTAAGTGCGCGTTTCACCGTAGTTGCGATATCGTCTCTTATTAAAAGTCAATACTATATTTCATTTTGCTTGGGTCGAGGGACAGCAACACTGGTTTTATTTTAGAATTTACTTTTTTTACAAACGAAATTAGAGGCATTTGAAAAATGTATATCGTATAGTATACGTTATTAGTTCAATTGATAGAAAAAAATCATTGGTATGTGTAAAGTACCTATTGATTACAGCGGTTTTCTTGTAAAATTTCGAGGTAAGTTTGCGTTTTTTTTTCTATCACAAAAATTTCTAGGAATTGTGTTTTCACAACGCATCCAAAGCCCTCAATTTTAATGTTATATTTTTTCCAATGTGATTGATTCAACACTTCCACTGTTATGCAGAATCAACCAAAGCCATTTGAGGTTCTATAGACTCTTAAAAGATCTAAATTACAATTTAGCGAAAATTAATTATTTACAACATAGAACAAGTGGCCAGGCAAGTATCTATTCCCCAAAGATTTCCAGAGCAGCCGATCGGACGCAACGTGCATCCACCGGTTACCCGCCGCCCTTACCAGGTCGTCCGTCCATCTAGTAGGGGGCCGTCCCACTGAACGCCTTCCGGTTCGTAGTCTCCATTCAAGAACCTTTCTGCCCCAACGGCCGTCAGTTCTACGAGCTATGTGCCCTGCACACTGCCACTTCAACTTGCCAATCCTTTGTCGATGACTTTCGTTCTTCTACGGATTTCCTCATTTCTGATTCGATCACGTAAAGAAATGCCGAACTTTGCTCGCTCCATAGCTCGTTGAGTGACTTTGAACTTTTTTATGAGGCCCATAGTAAGTGACCACGTCTCAGAGCCGTAGGCCATCACTGGCAACGCGCACTGATCGAAGACTTTTGTCTTCAAGGACTGCGGTACTGAGGGCGAGAAGACGCACCGGAGCTTCTCGAAAGCGGCCCAACCGAGTCGGATTCGATGATTGACCTCTTTCTCGAAGTTGGCCCTGGCTAATTGGACGGTTTATTCAAGGTAAACATACTCGTCAACAACTTCGAGAGTAGAGGTACCCAGGTATAGTATCTATTATATTTAAAAAAACACCTAATTCTGAACCGAATTATGTAAATAACTTTGTCTCATCAAAATTTTGAAAATAATGGCATCATGCAAGATGACGAGATAACAAAATCCAACATTCGGTTCGCTCTGGCGTTCAGCGAATAGTCTGGTTGCTTATTGTATTTAATCTGTCTGATTATATCACGATAAATTATTTAATTAACAGAAAATTAAGATACTAGGTGTAGTCGTATTAATCGGGAATCGGAGACAATGTCCTCGACCCAATAAATTTGGACCCAGCCTCATGATAAGTTTATGAAAATTAAAATTATGTTCACAATCTTGAGTGAAAATTGTTATGGGACATAATACAAAAACATGTCTCCGTCAATAAAAGACAGGCGTGATGTCAAATATAAAGTTGATGATAGAGGTAACGCTGAATACGAATTTGTTTTTACAAACCAGCGCTTTCGAGGTCTTCTTGTTGACAGTCACTTCTTCCTGCCTCTCTTTGTTCTCAACTTCCTCGAGCTTATTGATCAACGCGTCAAGGTCCTCGCGCCAGAGCATTGACGGTGTTTTCAATCTGAAAAATACACATATCATTACTTGTGTAACTTCGCAGAGAGTGGATGGATACATGCAGGTGCAAATACATTCGAATAGTGCATGATTCTAACTGACTAAAATATTAATGCAATGCGCAGAATTCGGTGCTATTTCGGAGTCATAAAAATGTAAGAAGAAAGTTAGGGAATTTGAAAAACAATTAAAAGTCTAGGGTTGGTAGAAAATAATCGGAACAGCGATGTTTAAACAACGAATTGTCTTTCGTTATTTTAACTAAGGGGCGTAGAGATGTGAAAATAACTAATTGACGATATGATAATAACAATAATAAAATTGCCTGTATGTAAACCCACTACTGGACATAGGCCTCCTCTTACAACTTCCCACGCGGGTCAAAAGCTGTTTGGAGAAACTTCACACACATCATTAAATGTGCAGGTTTCCTCACGATGATTTCCGTGGAAAATTTAAATGCATCCATGGTAAATTTAAATTCCGCACATAGTTTCGCGAGAACTGTTTCGAACCCAGGACCCACTGTTTGAGAGGCGATAGGTCAAACCATTAGGGTGCCACGATTTTTTAAATTGATGATGAGTTAATACAACAAAGTCGCGCTATGATAGACGTATGACTTATAAACGTAATGAACCACGCGCATCAAGTATATAACCAGAAATAGAGACGAAATGTCTTAATTTGTTTGAAATCTATTCTACCATATCATTACTGTGACATCTGCGCTCCGATTGGCCAGCCCGAATTCGAAACAATTGACGGTTGTCGTCAGTTGTTTCACTTCAAATCGACCAGTTAACTTGACCTTTGCTATAATGGACGAATATTGCAAAATTCATTGACTTACAAATAAATGGACGACGGGTCTAATACAAAAACCACGAAAAAAATGTCCCAAGTCAACCTATTTAAACGTAGTGACATGTAAAGGAATATGAAAAAGCTAAAACGTTGAATTTAAATTGTAATGTCATCGCAGTACTGTCTAATTTTGCTTGCTTCGCTGTCAGAAGAAACAAACGAAGTCTAAAGCGTGAATGACGCTCTGTATACGATTTTAACGCCCTATAAGTTCGGACACTTTTTAGCGCGGACCCGACGTCCATATAATTGTATGTAAATGGCAAAATTACATATTTAATTACCGATGAAATTTGATTCTGTTTGTTTTGTAATTAGACGTTTTGCTGTTTCTCCCCACACCACCGATTGGAACAGCACGCCATTGTTAGAGATATTGTCATTATTACAATAAATACAGTATATTTTTGGAATTTATGTAGACGTACACATGGGTCAGTTGTTGGCGCTGTCTATATGTCAGTGCAAACGAGAGTTGATGTTTATAAGTGATGTATCACTGATGAGTTACCAAGAATGTATGGCCCTTACTGCATCTCTATTTCTGGTTATATACTCGATGACCACGCGTAACAATAAAATATCTAAGGAACCTTTTGTACCATAATAAAATTTAACACCAGTGCAACCATTTCAAAGTAGAAAAGTAACTTGCCGATGTTAACATGTTATATGCAATAGACTTACTTGAGCGCAGTGAGCTCAGTGAGTTTCTGGTCGCGCTGCTTCAGCAGTTCGTCCTTCTTCTCCTTGGTGAGCATCCACATCGACATGCCCAGCAGGTAGTTGAACTTCTTCACTTCCTTCAACTGCTGGAATGCTTTTTCTGCCACACAAAATAGAGCAATAATATGTCAATACTTGATAGTTATTCAAGTAGTTATCTTGTGATTACGGTTATACTCCAATTATTATTTTTTAATTATTAAACTCCAAAAGTTGTTACTGGAGACCTAAAATACAAATCATATCATAAATTGGAGTATAACCGTAATTTATTAAACAGGTTTAAAAAAACCGCAATAAATTAAAAAGATGTAGAAAAAAATGATCATATCAGATAAGTCCTTTTAAAGGTTATAATCATTTATCCACCGCCCTATTTATTAAGTAGCATGTTTATTTTTTTATTATTTATAATGATTACTATCACCAAACTTATCAAGAAATTGCGAATAAAGTAAATCCTACGAAGACATCAGCTGCATAATAAGATTCCAATAATCTGCTCTCATACTACGACCAAGTTCCACACAGACCTGAACTAGCTAAATAAAAGTTGATGACCACCAATCGCAGATACAGGGTTTCTAATTTTAATATAATTTTGACTAAGGAATGTAGATTTAAGCAATATTTTCTTTTTGTTAATAATCAACATCAATATGTTACTTTGTAGTATAGAGTTAAATATTATTCTAAGTAAAGTTTGGTCCACATTGAAAGTAATACTTAGATTCACTACGACAGACGAATGAGATAAAAATGGTGCGAAAAGATACGATTTTTTTTTGAAGGCACTTATAACGTTTATTGCTTTACTTGTTACGATTTATTTTTGAACGTAGTCTAACTTTGATTTAAGTCTAGTTTACACTAACATGATTTGAATTGATTGACAAAAAAATTGCAATTGTTTGTTAACATAGCACAATTAAGATTTTCAATGTCTTATTATGACATTACGAATTTTTTAAATATTTACATCTTTTTTTTTCCAACTTACTTCAAATTTTAATTAATAAAACTTATATTACTTGATTACGTATTTATTTAGATGGATATAAATTTTTAACATGTCGCGACAATAAAATGTTTCTTGTTGTTACTGGAGACCTAAAATACAAATCCTTGATTTAGTTTAGGCTCCAGCTTTCCACCAAATTTACTTTGTTCTGTAAAATATTTACCTAAGTTTTTCATAAGTACCTTGGCTTAGTACTATTGTGGAAGGAGAAATAAACGATTTTTATAAAGCCATTTTCGAGCACTATATTTGACTTTCAGAAATTTGTTGAGAATGCTTCCAAATGTCAAGTCATCAATCAAATTAGACATTTACGCACGTCAGAACAACGAAAGCTTTTTAGAACATACCTGGATCTACGGGCTTGCTCTTGTCTTCTGGTTCCGGCTCTTCCTCAGACTCTTCGTCGGCGTCATCCTCCAGCGCCGTCAGGCCTTTTATCTTGGCGGCTCGCTTCTTCCACTCCGCGATGGGGTCCGGCGCATAACCTTGATATCAAATAATTCATATTTAGGGACATATTTCCATGTGCATATGTAACCAGACATTTACGTTATAAATACGTGTACGGCAAAGGACTGGAATACACTAAGTACCACTAAGAATACACTACGACATCTTATGTTACACTATAACTAAAATTTGAGGTAATTCAAGGTGATATTGAATAGGCATTTTTAGACACATCGCCAATTAACCCTTAATAAAGTAAAGATAAATTTACTCTCTTTTTAAAAACTATGCCACTATGTTTCAATTTCTAAACATTGACCTGTTCTCATCGAGCATATAATATAATGAGAAATAGAGACGAAATGTCATTTCATTTGTTTGAAAACCATTCTACCATATCATTAAAAATTACACAATTTAATATTTAAATACCGATGTAATGTGATTCCGTTTGTTTTTTAATTAGATGTTTTGCTGTTACGCCTATAAATACAGAATATTTTTGGAATATACGAAGACACACACGTACGCATAGGTCAGTTGTTGGCGCTTTACTATTTCAGCTTTCTAATTTGTGATTTCAGCGTAAACGAGAATTGATATTTAAAAGAGATATCAGTACTGATTAGTTGCCAGGGACGGATGGCCCTTATTTCGTCTCTATTTCTGGTTATATACTTGATGCCTGTTCTAAACGCATAAAGGTAAAATATTTTACAACCAAAAAAAGTCAGCAATGGAAATAGCATCTAAGACCCTCAATGAACAGGGAACCACTGCGTTATTTTATAGATAGGGCATAGAGGCTCGCGTTTGTTTAAAAGTCAAAATCAGATGAGATTGCAGCCAGCGTTTATTTTGCATAAAACAAAATTAAAACCGCGCTCGGCTCTTCACATCGTCACGAATCGATCAAGTAGTCTGTCAGAATGACGAAGTTTGATTTCATTACCAAAGATGGCTGCTATTTTGTAAATGTATGATACAATAAGTATTAAGTTGGTAAGCTTCTGCTACTGATTTGTACATTACCCCTCTTAATAAGTTCTTCAACCATAGTTTTTCGTTTTTTATTCTCCACGACGAGCCCCTTATCGCACTTCTCGACAATGAATCTCGCCTGGTTTGACAGCTTATCGGCTTCAGCTTGCAGCTGCCCCTCGAGATAATCCTTTCGTCTACTGTAATACTTAAGACGCAAGTCGAAGAACGGGCGGAGAACGTCTTCTACTTTTTCGTACCTAGAATTTAACAGTTTTAGATAAAGCTTAAAGTAATCCGTAGACAAAAAATAAACTCATGAATGTATTAAATATACAACTCATTCGGCGAAGATGAAAACGAATCACAGTGATTCAAAATGCTTTCTCGTGACGCCTTTATTACCTGTGTATCACAAAGAAACAATAGAATTTCACTTTGAATCTGACTGTATAGTTGTGACACTATCACAGCTGGACTTTACTTATCTAAAGCGATGGTAGTCACTAAGACGCTTCAAGTACGGAACTAGACAGTAGTTTGGTCCAGCGTACCTCACACGTAAAAAATAACCATTTCACGGGAGTGCATCACGTTTTTAACTCGTTAAATGCATTTTTGGCAATGAAACAACGCTTCCGAGATTAGAATTAGAGATGCCACGAATATTCGGCTACTATTCGGTATTCGGCCTATTCGGACACTTTTTTTAACATTCGATATTCAGCCGAATACTACGACTATTCGGCTGAATATCGAATATCAAATAATGAAAAAAGCACATATATTCAAAATGTATCATGTATTTTACAGTTTTCAAATAAAAATCAATTTCATGTGCAATAGAACTTTTATCCTCATCCTCCATTTTGCATATTATCTGTAGCGACTTCTTCAAAACAGATCCAGAAACTGTTATGTATTGATTCTATCGTTTTATCAATTTTTAACAAAAACACTCGACCCCCGTTACCTCCGCACGCAGAGCAATGAGACAGGACGTAACAGGCCACGCGTGAAATGCACCGATTTTACGCCGAACATTCGGCACTTCGGCCGAGGCCGTGGCCGAACATTCGGCATTTCGGCCGAGGCCGTGGCCGAATAATCGGTATTCGGCCAAATCACTATTCGTGGCATCTCTAATTAGAATGTCTAGAGAAGGCCCGCTTTATAAATGTATATTAATTTATAATAAAATACCAGACTCACTTAAGAAAGAAGAAAATACAACTTATTCTAAATCAAATTAAAGTCTCTCTTGATAAATGGGCGCTACTACATTGTGAGAGACTTCACGAACTCTCCTATAAGATGATATGAAAGAGCTGGAAGTCCATGTTTGTTTTTGTTAATTATTAGAGATAATAATAATAATTATTATTATTTTAGATAATAATTATTTGCTACACTCCAACAAGGTATGTTTGTTCTTAGTAATTACCTGTGTAATGCCTGTTAGCAATAAATAAATAATATACTTACTTGGTCAAGCAGTTGTTGTGATCAAATGCGTTCATGCAAGTCATAGAGATGGTGGTCTGCAGCTTGAAGACCTTGTGGATGCCCTCGGCCTCCACCTCGGCCAGCTTGCCTGGCAGGAGGCTCACCACGAACCGCACAGTCGTGTCGGTGTTGTACTCCTGTTCAACGAAAGATAATATGTTTAAGATTTAAACCACGCTTACCAGCATCCAACAGCAACTACGACTATGCAAATCTAGAAAACTGGGACCCACTTCGGATGTCGCTTATGCTCTAAGTCCGATCCGAATCCGAGAAGAGAGAGATAAAATTATCCCTGTGACGTTTCTTAAGTATTTTTTAACATAAAAATAAGTGCGCTTTTAACATCCATCTCCCTTGATGGAAAGTGACGATAATAAGGTCGACGATGTAGCATGCACACCTAAATAACTCTTGCCTTGAAAAGGCCCAAGTTATTGCGTTCGGGGAATAAGTGTGCAGGCAGGGAATATATTCCACTCCATAGCCGTTCGCCATATAAATGTATAATATGTACTAAGTGCTGACCTAATTCCGTTTATGAACTAAACACAAATAATATTTTACATAATAGTACATAACATTATTATTTACTTCCGAGACAAGTATACATTTTGAATACGGTGACCAAGTAAATGCAGTTTAGCAAATTCATTAGCAGTAGGGCTCCCTATGAAAGAGGTCATCTAGGAAAGTACTGCCACCTTACCTATTTCTTCCGCCAAGCAGTAATGTGAGCATTACTGCGTTACTGCGTTCCGGTTTTGAAGGTTAAAGGTACTGGTAAAACAACAGGCACATGAGAATTGTCAACGGGTGATGGGCGCCGTGGCAGTACAGTAGATCTTTGCAATTTAAAGCTCCGAGTGGCATTGCAACTGCTATGGAGAGGTGTATCGCTTACCACCTGGTGTCATTTCTCGGATTCGGAACTGGGAGTTTACTCCCCTTCTCCGTCCTACATCCATACGAAACAATTACTGTCAACTAAGTAACACTCGACCAAATTATATATAAATAAGTAATACTTGACATTGGCTTTTTGAATTGATTGAGTAATACTTGTTTTACAGTAAACGTTTCGTACGGAGTACGGAAGTAGACGGTCAGGTACGAATCTGACGTAGTGCACAAACGCTCTAAGACTTTTGAATATTTTTGTAAAGAAGTGGTACACGGGCCTTTCTTAGGGTCGTATTCTAGAACTCTACTCAATGTTCAAGTCAGGATTTGAGTATGTTTTAAAGCACTCGAAATTATACTCAAGTGCCTGCCATTAGGGTCGTATTTCCAGTGCTTGAAATCACACTCAGATCCTGACTTGAGCATTGAGTAGAGTTCTGGAATACGACCCTTAGAGCGACATCATAATAAAAGTCTATTTCATATGAAAAAATATTCAAATTTTAAATTACAAATATGTAATTTAAAACCCTAAGGGCGCGTTCCCACTATGTCATCACGTTTTATCATCGTTGGACGACTGTCGTGTCTAGCCTGTTCCCATATCACGGCTATCTGTCGTGGACGATTTTTTATCGTTGAACGACTGTCGTAATTAGCTGTTCCCACTAGATCGTGACGACAATTTATCGTTTCACGACAGCCTCCTTGTCGTTTGCACGACAAAATCGTTTGATGCACTGCAGTCGCTTGTATGTTCTTTTGGAAACCGGTAGTGTGTGTTCGCTCGAAATGGATGAAGACGAAATTTTAATAATGTATTACTTTTTGAAAATGCGGAAGAGGAAGCAAACAAAGAAAAGAAATGATTATCACTAGTATCAGGTTTCTTACCACGGTATGACTTCTTTTTATTTTCCCGATATTTCGGAACGGTCGCACGCTCCATGGTCACGGGTTGACTGGACGGCGGCAGATGACAGCTTTATGAGCAGACATATCTGTCTACCCTCTTGCGCTGTCGACGACTACCTTCATCGCGATTTGTTGTGGCGTTACCATTGTCACTCACTTTTTTCACACAAACCACACTCACTGTATCCACACGCGAAACTGAACTCGAAGTGTTTTTGTTTTTATTACTGCACGCACTAAGGACCGGATTCCATGCACTGGACAGTTTAAAACCATCATCACGGTTAAATGTTTTGTACTTCGTGATCTCGATGGCTTCTCGTACCAACCGTGGTATGTAGTGACGTTCTGTCGAGAGTACCTGGGGGCTATGCAACTCGATCCAGTGGTTAGTGTCAGTCTGTGTGAGATGTTGTGCTATAGCCGACTTCTGTGCATCATTGTTTTTTACTGCTCGGATGTGTTCCTTCATACGATCGACAATTGTTCGTTTAGTCTGACCGATATACGAGCTCCCACAACTGCAGTTCACTTTATAGACACCCGGTGTTTGTAAAGGAAGGTGGTCTTTTGGTGAACGTAACATTTTTCCTATTTTGGTTAAGGGGGTCAAAATAGTTTTTATGGAAAACTTCCTTAGCGACCTGGCTATTTTGTCTGTCACCCCTTGTACATAGGGCAGAAAAACTGGTAGTCTCTGTACGTCAATTTGCTTCTTCCTTTTGTTGTTCCTATTGGTTTAAATGTTTTTATTTTGTATCCATTCTGTCGCAAAACCGTCTTAACGTGCTCCTGTTCCTGTGGTAGGTGGTGTGAATCACAAAGATCATAAGCTCTATTGGTTAATGACCTGACGACCGAATGTAGGTGTTTTGGGTGATGATGTGAAGTGGCATGTAAATATTGTAATATTGTCCGTGTGAGTTGGTTTTCTGTACACAGAATGACCAAGTGAACCGTCTTGTCGGACTTTGACCAATACATCCAAAAATGCAAGCGCGCGATTTTTCTCAATTTCACAAGTGAACTTCATTTTCAAAATTCAAAAAGAAGTCATACCGTGGTAAGAAACCTGATACTAGTGATAATCATTTAGTGAATAACCACGAAAGTCTTAAAATCTATAAAGAAAAGAAAGTTTTGGGTACTTCCAATGCTACTAAAAAGAATTCCATTAGGGTTATGTCAAACGGTATACGAAGTTGCTTTCTTTTCGGTATTGTCAAAACCTGCTGTGACCAGAGATGAGCAGTGGGTTAAAACCCAATCAACCCGCCCGTGTTTTCACCAGGGTTTTACCCGAAGCGCCGAGTTTTAACCTATTTCTGCCCAAAATCGTGGGCAGAAACGAAGAGTACAGAATTTGGTGTAATTCCAATAGTAACAACATAATATACAATGACTTGTAACAAATTTCTATATTTTTATTACATGAAGAAGAGGCATCTCCACATAATACCCACCACCCATCAATCCTGGGGATTCTCAATGAAGATCGATTCAAGAGCATACGATCTAGCGATTTTTTGTATCAATTTATTGATGAACTTTTCAAGTGAATCTATTCAATAGAAAGATAAATCGAACTGTCCTGATAAAAAAGCAACAAATATTTTGTAATAATATGTATAATTAAATTTGAACAAAACTCAATTCACAACAAATATTTAGACGTAAATAGTTTTTGCCCTGAATATCGGGTGTTAACCCGATTTAACCCCGGTGTTAACAAAGCGCCGGGTTAAAACCCGGACTGCACGACAATCTGTCGTCACGACATAATGGGAACGCTTGACATAACGCAGAAAGAAAAGATGGTTTCATTTGTGATTAGATTGTGTTATTTACTTTTTTATATAATTTAATACCTTTCAATAAGACCTGTTTTATCCAGAACTAGGTCACCAACAGTTTGTCTCATTTTTAGTTAAGTTAATATCTTTGTTTCTCACAATATTCTAACGACAGTTGTATTTACTTGTACCACGGACTTGTATATTACACTGGGCACTAAATTAATAAAACGAACCGAGTGAGAATCATCAAAGTAGTAATGTCTCTCTTTCTAATAGGGTGTTCGTTCATTTTTCAGCCAGCCATATTGTTTTGAACTTTTCAGATTTTACAGAAAATGTGGTCGCTTATGGATGACCGAAACGACTAATATTATTTCATAATACAAATTAGTATACTTATTGAGGTGAAACACAAGCAAGTCGGTTGAACACTGGTTTATTCCATGCAAACACACTGAGGGTAGGACGACTACCCTCGCATAATGTGTTACAATTTATATCAATATTTTCAAAATAAAAAGCCCGAAGAAGTGTATTATATTCAATAAGAAATAGGTGTAGTTGTTTTCTGTTTGGACTTATTTAAATTTTCTTTGTAAAATGTATATTAAGAGTAAACCGTATTATAGTTAAAAGCGAACAAATTACTAATAACACTTCTTACCTTGTACTCTTGAATAAGAGGCTTCACTTTATCGGTTCCCAACATGGGTTCCAAAACATTCTCCTTATAATTCTGTGTCCAAGTGCCGACGGGAAGTTCCGTGATCTCAATCTTATCCCCGGGCAAGATGGCCGCCTCGCCGGAAATGACGTATTTGTCGCCGAATCCTTCGACGGTGCCGCGGAAGTTTTTGTACCAGGGATGCATTGGCACTGGTTCCTCGCCGTCCAACATACGACTGTTAACAAAAATAATATCATGAAATCAAATCTTGTGTAAATTAACTTGTCACTACTACAAGCACTATATATACATAAGTTAATTTTATACAAGATTTTGTTGGCAACCACCAATTTGCCCGCCATTATTATTTTCGGCAAATACAAATCGTAAGACGTCACAATTGTGGTATTGGTTTCGTATCTTCAACTTATACTCTTTGCCACCAAGACTGGACATCTATAGTCTGTCCTTTTTGAAAGTGGAGTAAAATAACATTCGTGGGGTTGCCAGTTTTCATAAAATTTTAAATAGTTATGTAGTTGTCGATTAAAAAATTTTCGAAACATTACGAAAGAAGATAAAATTTTGCCAAAAATGCCTGAATTGTGAATCTTACGGCGTTCTAATGATTACTAATTGCGTTGTTGACTTCTGTATTTTTATATTAACAGTTGGCCTAATATCGAGATAAATTTTTATACGTATTAATTTTAAATGGAATAGCCCGATTTGATTATCTATATTAAAATATGTCTCCACTTTGTATTTTTCATAAATATAGTTCTAAATACAGTGTATGTATGAACTTACAAAAATTGACCATTCAAATGAACTTGTACTTTGTAATTGAATGAATAATGGGTGGGGGATGATCCAAACAAGTTCGGCAATTTATTCCATAAGCATGAGCAATATTTCGATAATCGATAGAACATTTATCGACTGCAAGCACTAGCTGCTCGCAAGTGGGCAACACTTTTGCGCAATGAACGATCATTTCACTCCGTCTTCAAAAAAGACAGACTATACCTTTTTCGCTTGTACATATGCATTGCGAATTCTCTCTAATTCTAAAAATACTAATAATACTTATTTCTAAGTTGGGTTTGGTCTAAGTATTGCCCTCAGAGTTATCGTTATTCTGGTATTTATAGTACAAGAAATTCGGCATAAATTTGGCATTTTTTCCTTCTAAATATTTTTCTTTGGCATAGCTTCAAAAAAAAAAGGAATCTAACAGAGAGACGGTCGAGATACAACATCGCTATTATAACTATCTCATTCCCACTACATCGGGAAGTATGCCTCACATTTTTTCAATTGTGAGATCTTGTACTCGTAACCTATTACGCCTCTGTATTTTACCTCCGTACGATGGCGTGCGGACGCTTCGGGTTTCGGCCTACGCGGACCTCGGCCTACAGCCTACGGCCTAGGCACTTATGACTTTGTTTTAAAAAAAATAAAATAGCTCTTTAATTACGGCTTGTATGGAGGCCATTTCGAAAAACGGCGGAAACAAAATTATGATTGAAGCCATGCCATTTTCAGTCTAGTTAGAAGAAATTTTTATCTACCGCCAAAAGAGCTTGTATGGCAGTCATATTGAAAAGTTGCGAAAAATAAATTTTGATCGCAAATTATTATTAAACACTCATAGAGACCGCCACATGCCGATTTTCAGTTGACTTAGAGCAAATTTTAATAAACGTTTGTATGGCAGCCATATTGAAAAATGGCGAAAAATAAAATGACCATAAATTATTATCAAACACCCTTAGATGGGGGTCTCTACCATATTCTCCACATTCAGGTTTTCTTATATTTGATCTTTGCTTTGGAATCTATCCGCGTCCAACGGTATAAATGTTTTTTCCATCATATCGGGAAGTATGCGTGCTATTTCTACCAGTGACTATGAACTTGTAGCTTTATTTATAGATATATTCTATAAAATTATATGCATGTTATATAAATTTGGTTACTAAATAACATTTCTTAAGTAACAGCATTTTACAATATCTAGGAAACTCGTCAATGGCAGCTTGCCTCATCAGACAAAACTCTCAGGCGCTGTTTGTTTGTTCGTTCATAACCATAATCAAGCTATAAGGATGAGACCGACAGGCAATACAAACACGATCAGTCGGTTCGATGTAACTTTTAATACTGTTATTTGAATCAAATACATGAGTATATTATATAGATATATGTAGCAACATTATAATTATTATTAACAAGTAATAAAAAAAAACAAAGTAATACTACACCTCAAGTCGTTCAGTTTGTTCCAAATCAAGTGAAAATGTTGTATGTCTCATTAATTAGGTTTTATAAGAACTGGTCGCCACTAATGCTTACATAACATAGCAGCTCCATGGTAATGCCACTATTTTAGGGTCCAGAAACTCGTAAGTCTTTGTTGTAAAAACTGAAGCCCACTTACCGAATGTTTGCCACGATATCTCTGGGATTGTAGTTGGGGATTTTGGTGGACCAACCCGTGCCAATACCTTCTGCGCCATTCACCAGTACCATCGGGATAATCGGCAGGTAGTACACCGGCTCTATCTTCTGGTTGTCTTCGAATTCGTGCTGAAAGATACAACAGTCTAACAAATCCTCATCTTGACTAATGTCCTTGAATACTGAGACCAAATAAATTTACTGTAAAACTTGTAACATTCTTCTTACTGAAGAAAAAATCGTAATAGATTGGATTATAGATGTATAACGTAATGAATACTTGCAATAAAGATAGACGGAAAAAAAATTACAAGGTTTCGATTGCGAAAGAGAATCAAATTCTCCTGCTATATTATTTTAATTTATTTAAAAACTATGGTCCATTTCACATAGGATGGGTACGGTGACATTTCCGATTTTTACCTTACACACATCATCATCATTATCATCATCTCAGCCCGCTAAACCCACTGCCGGGTATAGGCCTCCTCCTCCTTACACACATAATATTTTTAAATAATCTTCTCCAGCAGGTTACAAAAAGGAATAGCAAATTTGTTACAATGTATCAAAAACAAACAGTATTTGTTGCAGTTGTAAATTTAAATAAAAATTACAGTATATTAAGTAGATACAAATTTAAATTATAAAGATAAATATAAATGACCCCAACTACTCCCTGCGTAAAACGGAATATTTATCTATAGAATCGATAAAACGAATCGGCTATTACGTATCTCTCGTCAATATCAGTGCATACACTTTGAATGCGGGCAGTTTTCTTTTGTTTTGAGCTTTACGTGATGCTTTTGGGAATATTTGTTCAAATTTAGTTTCGTTGCTGTTGATTTTATGCTTCGTTGTCGCCTTTTTGTTTGGTTGTTGTTGATTTTTTGTTGTGCAGGTTTTTAGTAACTTACTATAAATAATTGAATTCTTTTTATTTTGTTTATTATGTAGTCTTAAATCATAATTTATCTGATCTCTTCGTTACAAATTATCTCGATATGATGTACAAATAGATTTTTCTTCGTTCCGTTTTACATCACTACATCTCTTGAAACTTCAAAGCTCAAATGTCACCATACCTAAGCCATGTGAAGTTACTTTTAGACCTCGAAATGGTTGCAATAGCCATCAACGTGGGAATTAACACTAGCTCATTAAAATACCGGAATCAAATCAAAAATGTACGGTACAAATCTGACTTTTTTGCGTATACTCGCGTTGTCTAATATCCGGAGAAAATTACTAAAAGATTTTCCACTTCAATGTACTCACCACTAGCAACGGGTCGTCATGAGGATGGAAAATGAGCCTAGTCAGCGGCGACATAAGAGTGAAGATGTATCGAGCGCTTGCAGAGTCCTTGCCGCCACAAAGCCGCGTACCGAACTGACCGCGCGGCTCTAGCAGGTTGATGTTGTTGGAACCGACGTAATTTTGCGCCAAATTCACGATCGTCATTGCGAGAGATTGCTCACCTGTTTGTGTGATAATAAAAAGATAAAAGCCGACGAGGAAAAAAGAAATAATTATTTATTATGTAATATTAAATTCGCCCCCATTCATTGTCAAAATTATAAAATTAATTGTGGTTGTTCATCTAGCCGATATCTATGATTTCATAATACTCTATGCACGTAACGAGCTTTGCCGAATAAAACTGAGAAATGCTAAAGTCACGTGTTACGAATTCAAAACTTGAAAATGCTCCCTTCTAAACTAGCCAATTTCGACATACGATACTTTACGTAGGAGGGGTCAATAATGGCTCTGCAGTGTATATTAAAATAATTGAAATCTTTCTTTGCAATAAGTAAAAATTAACTATTTTGATTTTGACCGCCAGCCAACTCAGCCAAGTGTGACTTTTGCATACAAATTGACATAGTGTAAGTACGTAACGTACTAACCGTGATGGTAAGCTGAGTGTTCGGCAACGGAACCAGCCAGCTGCGCCACTTTGACCTCCCGTTTGTCGTTACGCTTTATACATGTGAAGATCACCTTACGCTGGCCTGGCTTCAGCCCGTCAATCATGGAAGGGATAGATCTGAAAAATGTATATGAAAATTTAGAAATATTGAGGCAAAGATGCACATCTCATAAACACATATTAGTGGATCATTAAAATAATGTATTACTTCACAAAGTAATTTTGAAGCTTATTTGGATATACATTATTTAGTTGTGGGGGGAACTGCACCAATCATACATCTAGATTCTGCAACTATACCAAAACAGCATTTTAAAGGCTCCATTGTTTACTTAAATGAGATCAATGAACACCTTTAAATGTTTACTGTTACTGAAAAAGTAACTAAGTCATATAGAGAAAGAATATCCACTCATAGTAACAAAGTGTGTGAAGGACCATAGATAAAAGGATGAACTATAAACACATAGCAGATCAAACTCACTGAGCTACATTTTTGGCCACATTAAAACAACCCAATGTTAGAAAGTGTTTGGAGTTTGTGCAATGTAAAGAACCGAAGTTCATCCGAATGTCGGTCTAGTTTTGAATTTTTATCAATCTAGTCAGGCTGTCTTTGTAACATTTGACGTACGATACTTGTGGCTTTATTATTATATTATTATTTAGTAACGAATTACGATACGCATGACAAAGTCATTTAACATGATTTGTTAGATCTATATATTCAGAAGTCGTTTTCTCGGGTCTGCAGTTTGGTCAGAACTGGCCTCGTCGTCTTTTGTCCAAAAGAATCGATCTAATTTTGAAATTTTGTCAATATAGTCTGTTTGCTACTCATCATGGAGTATGCTTGACATTCAAAAAAATTTGAAATAAGACCTATGATCTGGTCTGAAACAAAACTAATTGCATGTCGGCAGAGTTAAAACTACGCGATGCTTAGGGTAAACGACTCCATAGCGACTGTTTCATGTGGTGACCATCTTCTTGGTCAAAATTATTGAAAATTGCAACTTACCGCACATTATCTCCATTGGAGAAGAGAACAAGCTCCAAATTAACAAAATCCGAATAAGATACAGCCTTAGTCTCTTTCGTATACAAATATCTCTCAGGTAAACCAATCTCTTTGCGTCTCTTAACTTCCTCCATGTGGCCTGTCAGCCACTCCTTACGCTGGTCAGCACCTTTCTTAGAAAACGCCAATTCAATATGATGATCGTCTGTAGGTCCAGCATACTTAAAACGAATCCGATGCCTCTCCATGTTCTGGAAATACTCTTTTGCTTCCTTAGACGTGGAAGTACCCAAACCTTTGTAGTATTTGATATTATAAGTGTGATGATTTTCAGTTTCGCGCTTCCACTCTTCGAATTCTGGCAGTGAGTAGAAAGATATCTCCTTATCTTTCTTAGTGGCTTTCACAATTGGGGTGATGAACTCCTCCAAGAACGGTAGCTTGAGCAACTCCGGCCAGTTGTGATGAATAAAATTGATTATTAAACCTTTGATATGAGATCCGTCCTGATCCTGATCAGCCATTATCATAACTTTGCCGTATCTTAACGATTTAAGATCGTCAACAGAGTTGTATTTCTTTTTGTATTGAAGGCCAATGATTTTGATCAGATTGTTGATCTCGACGTTCTCAAGAACTTGCTTGTGCGAGGCGTCGCGAACGTTTAGAGGCTTACCCTTCAGTGGGAAGACGCCATAATGGTCTCGGCCTACAACGCCAAGCCCAGAAACAGCCAATGTCTTAGCTGAGTCTCCCTCAGTCAGAATCAATGTGCAAAGATGTGCGTTCTTCGTTCCCGCGTCGTTAGCATCCTCTAACTTCGGAATACCTTTCAGTTTACTCTGCTTTTTCCCAGAGGTCTTCTGCAGTTCTGTCTGCGCCTTGAACTTGGCCCAAGTCAGCACAGCCTCTACCAAGCCACACTTGCTTACAGCATTAACAAACTTTTCTGAATAGTTGCACTTCGATCCAAAGCTCTTGGCCTGGAGGGTCATGTTTTCTTTTGTTTGTGAATCAAAGGTTGGGTTCACCACCAAGCAATTGATGAATAACCACAAATGATTTTTCACTTGGAAAGGCTTAATATTAACGCCACCTTTGTTTTTCTTTTTGATTACTTCTAGAACATTCTTTACAATACTGTCAGTCACAGAGTCAATGTGTTTACCTCCTTTAGTTGTGGCTATGGAGTTAACGAATGATACCTGCTGGAATCCCCTGTCAGATAGAGTGAGAGCGACCTCCCACCTATCATTTACCTTCTCGTAAACAACTTTCAATGGCTGCCCATTCTCGTCTTCTTTTCCTTTTATGTATAAATCTACATAATCTTTGAACTTGTTTATTTTGATGCGTTCTCCATTGAGGTACACCTTTACCCCAGTCGTAGCTGCAACGTCGTATGCGCGTCGCGACATCAGCGCAACTATGTCGTCTTCCAGTTTCTCCATTTTGAACTTAGCCAGGTCAGGGCTGAATGTTACTTTTGTGAAATCGTCGTCTTTACCAGCGTCTTTTACTTTCGGCTCTGAAGCTTTCGTCATATTGGAACCCCACGTCTGTTTGAAATGTTTCTTATATTGTTTTGAAGCAGTTTCTACTGTAAACTTTGTTGAGAAAATGTTGCACAATTTAGCACCATAACCATTTCTACCTCCAGTCACTTTTTCTTCTTCGTCGTTATAGTTTGACGATGTCAATAGATGTCCAAAAATCATTGTTGGCACATACATTTTTTCGTCCTTGTGCATAACTACGGGTATGCCGCAGCCATTGTTGTAGACTGAGATAGTGTTCTGCTCTTGATTGATTTCAATTCTCATGACGTCCATTTTGGGATCCCTCTGCTTGTTGTCAGCTGCGTTCACGAGTATTTCGTCGTATATCTTGTAAAGACCTGGAAACAAAAACGTATAATTGAGAAACGATTTCTTTACTAGTCGTAAATATCCACAAAATAGCGAATGACAGAAAAGTGGCGTTAGAATCGCACGCAGTACTAAAAGTCATAAGCGCCAAGAGAGAGTGGCGATTATACGAGAACATGATCCTCTCGCTACCTGCAGGCCATCTCCATAACCCACGGAACTCTCCAGTAGCAATTTCCATTCCTATGATATTTTATTTGACTAAATACATTATTTTGATAGTTGAAACAACATTAATGCAAAAACGCCATTATTACTGATGACAGACGTTCCAAAGCGAAGTTCTTGATTTCATTAGAAATTAAATTGATGTGCATTTCACTTTTAATGTGTAGTAGTCGCGAAAACATAGAAGCTCGATATTGATGTGTTTGTTACCTGGCACATAAGTAAGCTCCCTCTGCACCATACATTCTTTAGTCTTGTCATACACCCACATGGTCTCTGTAGCCCTCTCAACAGACCCGATGTATGTGTCGGGTCTGAGCAGGATATGCTCTAGCTGAGATTTCTTCTGATAGATCTTCTCTATGGCTGCTTTGGAGCCTTTCGCAGGCGCAGCCTCCGACGTCCCGTTCTGGGTCGCTGTAGCGCCGCTCATTTTGTTGAACATGGACTGGAAATTATTTAATTTTTATAGAGACAGTTTTAAACTTAAAATACGTTATTACACTACGTCACTGCACTACTTTTATAGCTTAAAAATAGTTATAAGATTATCACAACAAACAAAATTGTATTGTAAGTTAATCTGCAATGCGAGCCGTCGGCATACGACGAAAGTAGATCAGGCAGGACCCGAAAGTAGATCAGGCAGGACCCGTTAAGGGGTTTCAGTGGTTTTTTGTGAAATTACACCACTAGTTTGTTATAATTTTATTAAAAACACTTAGAAAACATTCCTTCGATATGGCTGGATTCAAACCAATGTCTTCCAGTAAACAGTGCCAGAAAAAGCAATGGCTATGGTAATTAGGCTGAGGATACCGAAATGGCTACAGTAATTAGGCTGAGAACACCGAATGTGTAAAAAGGCTGTTGTACAGGTATGTTACCCTTTTGTGTCGTATTCTACTTCAGGATAAGATTAGAGTATGTTGCAAAAGACCACATATTATTATTAGCTCAATCAGAAACTCAACACATCTTTGATGTTCTGTAGGGATTGAACCCACAACTTAGTGCTTTCAAGTCATTAAAACAAGTGTATCACTGATATTTTTTTACCTTTACTATAAAAAAATTCAATAAACTTTACTGTTTTATTTTTTCGTATTTGAGTAGTGTGCTACATAAAGAGAAGGTCTATCCGCACACATAAGTGCTGACACGTGACAATCAAAAATGTTCAGACCCGTGACGTGTTATTCTGACGCCGACGTGTGCCGTGGTTGCTAGTTAATTTAGTAACTTGTTGTATCACAGTTAAATGAGACGTCCGTGCCATGAAATGAAAATATCCTCTGGCTAGAAATTCTCGTGGGATCACAGCGGGCGTCAGAGCAATATGGACGTCACAAAACATCACCGACAAGTACGGAAAACTTCGAACAAAACGTGTGGAGCTAGTTTGTTACAATCCTATTTAATAAAAAGGTCATTGAACTGACCATAGACCGTTTAGTAATGGCTAGTTGTACTGGCAATCACAAATAATTAATATGAATTTGAACAACAACTGCATCAGTGCAACTGCAACTGAATCAGTTGGAAAATCAATTTTTTTTTGCGATTTCACAACAAATTACTAATAAAGATGTGATTCGATATTTAGGGTCGTATTCCAGAACTCTACTCAATGCTCAAGTCAGGATTTGAGTATGATTTAAAGCACTAGAAATCATACTCAAGTCCTTGCCATTAGGGTCGTATTTCCAGTGCTTGAAATCATACTCAAGTCTGCTCAAATCCTGACTTGAGCATTGAGTAGAGTTCTGGAACACGACCCTAAGTTACGATATTTTTATGTACATGTATGTACAGGGCCGGATTTGCCCTAAGGCCCAGTAGGCCCGGGCCTAGGGCGCCCAGATTTTAGGGGCGGCCAATCGTGACAAAAAATTCACTGATGATAACATGAAATAACAAAGTAGCAAATCTCAAGGCTCAGGCTCAAGCGCATTATGGCGGGCCACACTGCACCGCGTCGTATAACCTAAATAATCTTCCTAAATCACTTCGTACATTTTATGTAACTTATCTAAAGTTATATATCTATAATGTAATGTATAATCATTACATCACGTCTGTCTGTCTGTCTGATCGCGATAAACTCAAAACTACTGAACGGATGCTGATACTGAATACTGACTACATAGGCCAAGACTGCAAAACCACCACTGTGTACAGGATCAGAAGATTATAATTTGTAGCTTTGTGTTAAAAATTCCAAAATAATATTAAATAAAACTTAACAAAACTTAACACATAGCAAATAAAATACAAAATAATACACAAATGTAATTTACCAAGTTTCTAAAGCGAAGCTATTCAAAACACGAGTTGGTCAATTGACTTGAAAGTAGTGTGTTTCTAGCGCCTCATGCGGCAATTCGAGACAAGTGTGTAATTTAGCGGGGTATTACCGTTGACAGAAACATTCGTTATTTTTTATAATTATTAATACAAAGATCAAACACAATGAAAAATTTTTAGTCTGTCAGGACTCGAACCTGGGTCTATATGCCAAACTACGGCCACCGACCGCTCTGGCAACTGAGCTACAGAGCGATTCAGCAGCCAATTGAGCTACAGAGCGATTCTGCGGACCTTACTAATTTCTCAAGTGTTTGTTACAGATTTTATATTGGGATTTTTAGGCTTTTACCGCCATATTTTTGTTTGCATTCGATTTTAATACTAAGTAATTACAATAAACTAGTGGAGTAATTGCACAAAAATAAATGAATATCATGATATTCAACAAAGATCAATATTCGTTATTTGAATTGAAACTTTGTTATTTGAGTTTTGTTGCAAAATTGTGTTAGTTTGCGAGTAAACATGGTGTACTACTAGCGCTTTTCCTTACATGAAATAAAAGTAAATATAAAACCCAAAAACTGTTAATCCTCCTTGCAATGCTTATACTTAGGTCCTTCTTTGATTGTTTGTGTTTCATACATCACTATGCAATCATAGACTATCCATGTTTTTATATTCGAAAATAACAACCATTTTTTTTCGTAGTTCGTAAAATTTTGGTTTAACATTTTTTATTTCATAATAATTAATTATTATGGTAGTCTAATGGCTGGCCGTTACTTCGAATCCAAGCTGCTCGTCCCTCTGAGTTTTCTGAAGTTCAGAACCAGATTTGATTTGAAATTTACCACATTTCTCATATGTCTCTCGTCATGAACTTGGATAAGTCCGTATCAATCCGGTTTCCGCTCTGGTCATAGCACAGTAACTGCCTTGCTTAATGTCACCGGATAACCGGTTGTTTACCATTATTGTTTTACTGGACTTCAGCAGTGCTTTCAACTCTGTGGACTATGACATCATTCTAGCCATTCTCTGCTCTCTTGACATCTCCCCTGCTACAATCGCTTGGTTTTCGGATTACCTCTGCAATCGCCATCAAAGGATCAGGAACGATAACACTTATTCCGAATGGCCTCCTTTGACTTCAGGGGTGCCACAGGGTGGTGTACTTTCACCTACTCTCTTCTCGCTGTTCATAAACGAGCTCACTAAATTAATTTCTCCTCCATTCCATTTATACGCAGATGACTTGCAAATATATAGACATTTTGATGTAGCCTATACCCTATCTGCCATTGAAACTATTAATAAGGATCTTCTTGTGGTGAAGTCTTGGGCTGATGCGTTTGGTTTACTTTTAAACCCGATGAAATCACAGGCAATAATTGTATGTAGCAACAGACTTTTCTGCAGGTTGAACATTAATAATCTCCTCAAGGTTTTGTATGATGGAGTGAGTCTTGCATATGCGGAAAATACAAAGAACAGCGGCTTCAATTCTTCTTACCATTCAACACCTAGGTTATGCTTGCTCAGTCTTTACTACTCCCTCTTCTCGACTATGCTGATGTTTGCTATTTGGATGCTACTGAGGAGCTACGTAACAAACTGGAGTGCTTACAAAATCTGGCAATCCGTTTCATTTTCGGTTTACGTAAATATGACCTTAGCCCTTCCCGCCCAAAACGTACCTGTGACACTAGAACATTATTATATCCCCAATCCAACTCCAAGTTCTTCCACAATTCTTTTACAGTTAGTGCAGCTCATATGTGGAATTAACTGCTTGCTGAGATTCGTGACTGTCCATCGGTGGCACCTTTCAAACACAAATTAAAACAGCACTTTCTGTCGAACTCATTACTTAGTTAATCGGTAACATATATATAAAATAGTAATTTGTTATTATAGTAGGTATATATTCTGATTATGTAAATATTTATGTATATGTATAAAGTTCGTGTATATTACCATCATTTGTCTATTTTTTTTAGTCACATTTAAATTTTGATTTTATTGTACAATAATTAGTCCCGCAGACTTAACTTTTACGCCACGGCTAGAGTTCGCTGGAAGAGATCTCTTCTAGAGATAAGCTCACCTTTGTATATGTCCTTTGTACCCAGTGTTTTATGTGTCTTTTCTTTGTGCAATAAAGACTTATATATGAGATTTCCGGTGAATGCCACCTGCACTTCAAGGATTCACAACCCTCGGATAATGTGTGAAGTCCCGCATTGGGCCAGAGTGGCAAATTATGGCCTTAACTAGAGACGCTACAAATATTCTGCTTCTATTCGGTATTGGGCCTATTCAGCCACTTTGTATAATATTCGGTATTCGACCAAACACTGAATATCAAATAATGAAAAAAGCATATATTATTCAAAATGTATCATGTATTTCAATCACAAGTTATTGCTTTAATACTTTAAATCAATCAGTGGTAGGTTGTGATGAATGAAAACAATTTTTTCAGCATTAGTTGGTAACAAATGATTGTGCTTTTCCTCATAAACAATTCCTGCTTCTGGATATAACCTCTCACTATAAACACTACTGCCAGGAGACGATAGATAAATCTTAGCAAATGTTGACAGGCTTGAATACTGCTTTGCGTTGGCTGACCACCACTTGTAAGGATCAGTCATCTGATCTAGATGAACAGTTTTCAAAAAAAAATTAATCTCATGTGCAATAGAACTTTTCACCACATCCCCATCAATTTGCATATTATCTGTAGCGACTTATAACAATACATGACATATTAACTGTCATGTATTGTAATAAGATTACTTAGATTAGATTACTTTGTTCTATAATTTTTCAACAAAAACACCCAGTCGTAACAGGTGGCGCGTGAAATGCACAGATGTTACGCCGAATATTCGGCGCTTCGGCCGAGAGCGTGTCCTAATATTCGGTATTCGGCCAAATCACTAATCGTGGCAACTCTAGCATAAACAGGTGAGCTGAGAGGAAACCCGTGACCAGCAGTGGGACGTATAATGGGTTGACAATGATTGATGATGTAAAGAAAATTTAAATTTATTGGTTGCATTTTCAGCCATTTTTTTAACTTTCAATTCGAATTTCTCAATTTCATAATTTTGATTACAGTATTTGGTTTTGTGTGATTACTGATTAATGAGTAGTGAAATTTTTCTACAACTAAGTCACGAGAATGGCTCAATTTCCATTTTGAAAAAAAATCACATTTTTCAGAAAAATAAATATTTTTCCAGATAAATATTTTTTCTGTCATTTTCCGCATTTGAAATTGACATCAGTCAAAAGTAAATGGAGTCGTTAAAAAGATTTTTTTGTGAAATAACTTTAAATCTCATTTTTCTTAAGTGGCTTTTAGCTTTACAAGTTTATTTTATAATTCACACTAAACTAAAGTAACTAAAAACTTCAAAAGATATTTCTAAACGTAGAATGTAATTCGAAATTGCAAAATTGCCAATTATTCCCAATTTTTCACGAATTATTGTAGAAAAATTTCCACTTTTTTTATTAGCTGTGCATTGCTGGTTCCTACATTTATGTATGGCAGAATGTTGGGTTTGACAGAAGAAGCATGAAAGTAGAATTAATGCAGTAGAAATGAGAGCTTTGAGTATGGCTGGAGTGACTCGAATGGATAAATAACAGAACAGTGTGATAAGAGAGTGTTGCAGCAGGGAAGAAGATATAGTGACAAAGATAGAGAAAGGGATGCTTAGATGGTTCGGACATGTAGAGAGAATGAATGTAAGAAGAGTGACGAAACAGATTTATAAGGCGAGTGTGAGCGGGCAAGTTGGAATGGGCCGACCAAGGAGAACTTATCATGACCAAATTGAGGCCATCCTAAAGAAGGGCCAGGTCAACAGTACCCTTAACCGACAAGCGTGTATGAAAGCATTGTTGGGCACGGATGAGGCGAAAGATGTGTGTCAGGACTGTAGCAAATGGAAGACTGTTGTCTCTGCCTACCCCGATGGGAAAAAGGCGTGAAGTATATGTATGTATGTAAAATTTCCACTATTTGAAATTTTTTGGAAAATTACCCAATAGTATGTGAGATGTTCTCCATAATGGCACAATGTACCCACTAGGGTTTATTTACATTGTGCTGTGTTTGGCAAGTGCCAAGCACAGGAGAGTAAAATTCAATATATCAGTATTTAGGTCAATGTTAAGATGATATATGTGCATACAAACTAAAAATATCCTAACAAATAAAAATAAAAATAAAATCTTTGTTCAATATAAGTATTTATTTTATTATTCATTAAAAACAAATTCATTCAAAAACTGTTGTACCTTAAAAGCATACGATAAGGTCGATTTTTGTCAAATGTAAAGTGTCAGTTATACACTGTCCGTATATATACGTCGAAGTTTTTTATTTAATAGTAGTGAAGGTAGCAGCGCACGCGACCGTTATTTCAAAAACGAATCGTAATTCAATAAAATCGCAAATCGCATCAAAAGTATAATATAATCGACAAGATCAATGCCATCTTGGTAATGCTACGAAAATTATTTAATTACATATGGCAGTGTCTCGAAGAAAATTGCAGTTAAAACGAGCAATTATTAATGAGCCAGATTTGATTTATGTCTTGTAGAATAAAGAACAAGTAAAAATTAAATAAACAAACGTAAGCAACAAAACAATATGATTTTTAACCGTTATGTGAGAGAATCAAATGCCGCGAAAGGCAACCTACCTTTATATCAGCCATCTTGTCCGTGGTGCTTATAAATCTTGAGCGATCAACGCCGAGCACAACTCGCTTAAAATTAAACACAAATCGTGTGTTAAATGTACTGATTGCGGCAAAACGACATTTTTTACAGAAATATCACGATAAACACGACCGCGACGATATTGCGAAGACGCCGAGAATAATCATAGAGTAAATTCCTCTATGAATTTTGAATTTTGCTATAGGCATAGTCGTTTCATTATCTATCTTTGTAAACTAGCTAACGAGCATAAAATGCTTATTTTTTAAATCAGAATAGAATTAAGATTAGAATTCGGAATAATAATATATATTTTTGTAACATTTACCTGTATTTCATATATTATCGGCACTCTCGTGATCGTAACGGTTTCATTATAAATACCTATTTTTTTTAGTTTCGTGTTCATCCCTTTGCTTTCTAAATCGGGTACTGTGTTGCATAGAATACACATCAAAATTTGACCAAAAACATGATGAAGGAACATGGAAGCAACAGTACCACGAATTCACGAAACTCAATGCATTGTACATATGTATATATGGTCTACTAAGCAAAGACCACAAACGTACCGCACCAAGTAAAATGTATTATGAATCATGCGGTATAAACTCATTTGCATGTTTTTTTAACTCTTTATTTATTTAGGGTTATCATTATTGAACTGTCAGGTCAGCTTCATTAGAAAAACAATATTGTTTATTATTATCAGATAGATAAACAAAAATACTTCCAAACCAATCATGTATAGAAAATCTTCCAAAAATCAATTCAAAGCATTGTATATTTCTATTTTCGACTAACGTTTAACATAAATAATGGCCGGACGCATTCTGAAGCGTAGCAGCGGCAATTAAGTATTTTTATATTATTACATTGGGCACGCGAAGTAGCCAAATAAAGTATAAATATTTTATTTTCTTATAATTTTTGTATTAAATAAATATAAAAAGTACGTGTTTTCCATTGTGTGTTGAATTTTTTTTTATTTTGCCTAAATGACAGTGAGTCAAAAAGTTTGAGAGCCTATGATTTATGTTAATAATGTCGGTGGCTTTATCCAAAAGTGATATCACTGGTAGTTTTTAAAGTTGCATATTTTTGCAAACTGTCTAAGTGGCCGAACGGTTACCTTGCCGGACTGCCACGCCGAGGTTCCAGGTTCAATTCCCGGGCCGGGAGAAATATTTGTATGGCCTACATTTATTTCTCTCGTGAGTTTGGGTGTAATTTGTGGTTGTCTATGTGTGTGTCCATGGCACCCGCGACACAGGGGTTCCCTAGTGCTGGGCTATGTTGAGTGTGTGCGTTATTATTATTATTATACCTATCTATTTTAGACTCTCGCCTCTCCCAAGGCCTAAAAGATTAATTTTGAATTTTTAAATGGGGGAGGCGGTACTATTATTATTATTAGTTTATTTATGACGGAACGAACAGAACTTAAAAAAAAGCTAAGTATTTGTTTATGGTTAAGAAGCTTTGGCATAAACTACACCAGCGCTTAATTGTACGAAACACCACAAATTATATGTAACATTAAGGTGGTGATGAATAGTGCCAAATGCCAATTTGATATTCCCTTGCTGCCAAACGAAACGAGCGTCATTAAGACTGTCACTCTGTCAGCCAGTGTCAGTCAGCTGTTATGCTGTTATTATTTGAGGTTATCTATGTAGGTAATGAAATAATATTTTTTGTGAAAATATAACACAAAATCTCAGAAAATGTCTCTTATATCATACGCATCATTGTTCTTAAGGCGATCTGGTGCACTCCGCTATCCATCAACATGCAACAATTGTACTAATAAAGTGAAACATGTGTCGTATAGTTCAGTAGCTACGAAAACGATTCATGATGTGAATACAAATGTTACAAAAGACGTTATTTTGTTTAAGTATGAGAATCCAAAGTTTTATATGTATATGAACCTGTTCGCAGTGGTTCAATACATGTTCTGGTCATATTTGGGTATATTCGCGTTCTCCACTCTAAGAGACGCTCCGGTGGACAAAACCAAGATAACGGACGATACACCGTGGTTTAGAAGGATAAATTTAGGAGAAAACAAGTATAGGAACACTTTGGGAAGCGTGGCCTTACTTGTTGGTAAGAATTAATTTTATACTTGCCTTAGATTAACATTTTTCGTTAATCCAAAGAACCTACATCATTTTTTTATTGATTTTATATCTCGATTGAATATTTTGATGTCAGTGCTGAGTGAGAAGCTTCATATGGCTGCAATTCCACTGGAGATGTGCGATGTAGAGAGGCGGTGTGCAAGGAAATATCCACCCATAGGATTACTTCATGTTCTTAGCCTCGCTTAGTGCAGCTCTGGTGGAGAAAGGCTAGCGTAGCTAAATTTTTGTACATACAAAAAAGAAAGAGATGTGTGTGAGGGATGCAAGTGTCCTCACTTGCATCCCTCACACACATCTCTTTCTTTTTCACACATCACATTCCTATGTGTGTAAGGTTCGCCTCCGCTCTCCTTACCACACCCCAACCCAACCATGCTCTGCTGAACAGAGTCCGCTACTCATCCTTGCTCTGCTCAGCTATATACGGTTTCACAGCTTTCCTGCACATCCTCGCACTACCAGTCACCTCTAACAGCTTTGGTGGAATCGCAGCCTAAATCTCTCCAGTTTGGCGTACAGATGTAGATTCGAGACCTGTCAGATTGAAGAAAGTTTTCTTTGTGTTCGATATACTATTAGCCATTGTAACTTTTTTATGTAATATTTTTATGATATTGAATGATGGGACGAACAAGTTGTGCACCTGGTGGTGTGGCGACACACCTACCTATAATAGTTGCAGTGACACTCAGGAAAATAGAATTGCAAAGATGTAAGGGGTACTGCCACAGTGTCCGTCACCCTAAGATATACTTGACAAATCCCATATGCCTATAGTATGTAACTCGTCTATAAAAAAGGGTTGCTCAGAAATTATGTCTAGTACTTATAAATGCTTTTGAGTAATTTTCACACTAGTTTATCCGATTTTGGTGGCAATTTTTATTATTTTTATTATATATAGTATTTATTCATTTTTATTATTAAATAATAAAAATGAATAAATACTCCAATAATTATTAATATTAATATTATCATGAAATATTGAATAATATTTCAGGATACTACACTTAAATATTAAATAATACTTCATGATAATATTCTAGAATATTTAAATAATATAATATTGCCACCGAAATTAGATAGAGAAAACTAACCTGAAAATTACCCTTTTGCTTTCCAGTTGCATTTCTTTGTTCATACCTAATTTATTTTTCTAATAATTTAATTAACTTTGCAGGTACAGGGTCTCTAGCAATGATTTGGATGTACACACTGAAATCAGTACGCTATCTAATACTTAATAAAGGAGGGAAGCACCTTACGTTTGTGACATATACTCCGTTTGGGAAAAACCGTATGATGAAAGTTCCTGTTGATCATGTTTGTTGTAAGGAACAGCGAACTGCAGCCAAAGTACAGTTACCTTTGAAAATAAAGAACACTTGGACGCATTATATGTTGGACATGAGAGGTGAATTTAAACACCCAATGTTGTTTGATAGTACTGCAGGATTGTTTAGGAAAATTTGAACTGTTGTGAGTTATGTGGTACCATTATTATAAATTGTAAATGTGTTGAATAAAAATTAGTTTGTAATTTATTTTTCGTTTGTATGTACTATCTGTTTTTAAGCAAACATAATAAAGTAATATTTTCAAGTCAATCTTATCCCATTGAATGTGTTGCCTTGTAATGGGCTACGAAAGCCATTCCATGACAGACAGACATTGACACCAGCAAATAACATTACGCTAACACCCTAATTTAGAAATTGCATCTTTTGATTTTCAAGCATATATGTATTAATGATTTTTCTACTACCAGTTATTGATTGATTGAATATATTTAGCATTAAAAACGGAAAATCGACAAAGACCATGATCAAGTAGTGTTAATTGATGGTGTCAATATGCTCCAGCCAGATGAGTGAAAAAACAATTAGATTTAATACTAAAAAAACATCCTAATGTTCTATAATGTTGTATACCTTGACTCCGAATTCTAATTAGCACTTATTACAGTAGTTTCAATTGTTTAGAGTGATGTAGAGCTGCACTGGCCTGAAGTAAACTATCCTCACAATAATAATAATAATAGACAACACAATATTATGGTTTGGACTGTCACGTAAAAGTTCTTAAGCTTTTTACATGTCATTGAAGAATACATAACAGGATTTTCTGCAAAAGTCAAAAGTAAACAGAAATAAAATGCAACCTGTAGATAGATTTATGAGAAAAAAATCTTTATTATATTGTTTATAATTATAGTAACGGAAAATTAATTCTGTCTCAACACAAAATAAACGAAGTAAATAACAAAAAATAAAGTTTTTTCTATTTACAATTTTTGTATCAGTACCTTTTTTTTGTTAGGTGCAAAGAAAACTTAAATCTTTTAACAAATCATAAAAATCCATGTGTAAAATTCGTGACGAAACTTGATCCGAACATTTTCAAAATAAATGCAATGCATAACATTGAGATCGCCAAACCTGGTTCAAGTGAAACTTGCACCTAACTTAAACCAAAGTCTTTGTACGAATATCGGCGATAATGCTTTTACAATCAACTTAGATATTACTTACTCTTTCTAAGTCTTCTACAGACAATTTTTGATTAAGTCTACAAATGCTTTCGCTAGCTTGCTACAACAAGCTAATAAGGACCAATGGTTATATTAACTTTGAAGTTTTTAAAAGGCTTACTGTTAACTTTAAAAGTTATCCGTAGTTAAAAATAAGCAGTAATATTTTTGAAACCACTGAACATCTGAATTCTTAAAATTGATAATATGAAACTGTGTGCACCGAGACATGGGTAATTTATTTTTCCAGCGCAAGATTTCATGAGCTGAGCATAACCCTGTTTACTGATATGTTCTCATAGAAACTTTACCAGAGACGAAGTAAGGGCAACAAACCATTGGTCCTCTATTAAGTACAATATTAATTTTTATTTACATTAAGTCATAAATATTAACACTCTACTAAGTTACATTTTAAGGCTCCGTGTGACGTCACACAGCAAAGCGGTGCTATTTTTTTTAATACGTGGGGTTCCGAAATAAAAAAATAAGTTTCCACAATAACATTATAGAATATTCCTGTTCAAAAAATTCCGAAAAATATTTTCAATCTTATATAATTTATTTCGTCCAGTTAAGTCAGTAGACTATCTGTAATTGATGTCACACAAGTTTCAACTTTTTGTCACATTCCAATGAATTTCTGGCACATCATGTGACACTTCAATGACGTCAATTAAATATGGCCCCTAACTTTACATGTTTGTTATATACGATGTTATGGGAAAATAAAAAATAAAACTCACGATATATATAAAGATATAAATATATGCATTGTCTCTTCACTGCATTGCAGTTACCTCGTTTGATGTTAAAAATAATGCTGACTTCTTCATTTACCTTGTATTATTTGCGTTTAAACAAAACCTAGTACGCTAAGCATACTGTTCTTTTACAATTATAAAAAAATATATACATTAATATCATCAATATCACTACTTCACTTTTAAGATAATGACTAACTTACCTACCATACCTACATATATGTTTAAATAAAAGCTTTTTTTTTTAATTTTACACATTGTTAGTTATAAGCAGCGTTTTATCTTTTATGGTTTTCGTTGTTGTAAAAAGAAAACTGCGTAATATGCATTCGTGTAAGATAAAAAAAAATATTGAATGTTTTTCCCGAGAAAGCTGACTGAAATAAAAAATGGTGGAGCTATTTTAATAAATGGCTTTATGCATCAGTAATAGACATGGTACGGACATCTAAATCTTATTATCAGCATACAAGGTGCCATATTCGTTAGTCAACATGCTTGATAAGCCGACATGTTGACCCACATTTTTATGTCAAACAATAACCGACACCGCCAATAAACAATGAATTTAGTGATACCGTACGAAGTAATGTTTCTGTACGAATCTGTTACTGCCTTCAATTGTGGTTGAAAAAATCAATTTCAACTTTATAAGACTGCTAGCCAAGGGTACTTCATGAAATGAATGACTTTTCGTGCTGGTGTCAAGTAGTGGAACTGACAAGGCATATGAACATGAGCATGTTTAAACAATTTTTGAAAAAATTGCCATCTTTGGAATTAATTGGGGACTGATTAAGCAGAAGCATATCTACTCCCTGAAACACGTACATTGCTTGCACAACTTTACCACGACGAGACTCGACCGTGCACCTTATCCTTAAACCTATGTGGCCACAAAATATTGATTTTTTTTCGCGGAATTATGGTCAACCTTTTCAAACCGTCTTTGCAATTCTTTTTACAACAAACCTGAAGCAAAAAATCAAACTTTTCATGTCAATCAAACAATGCATTCTTGAATTTCAATTGATAAGAATAAAAAACGTATGAACAGTTCATCTTTATCAACCATACAAATAAAAAATCGAAAATAAACAGTTTTACATATTTTTCCCTCATGCAAATGTTTGACACTTGGGGGAGTCTGGGACTTTTGATTTATTTTGTGATTTTCTTCACAACGAAGAAAAACACTTAATATTCCGCCTTCCCCTTTCCATCGCCGGGGGACTAGATAGCATTGGGTTCCACCCATATGTTGTGGATATTCCAAAGATTCTCACGAAGCGTTAGGCTTCCACATTTATACGGCGAACGGTTGTTCCCTGAACGTTATAACCCTTCAAGGCGAGAGTGAATAGGCATTATTTACTTGTGCATGCGCCATCGCCGACCTCATCATCACTTTCCGTCAGGATGGAATTTGATTGAAGATGGAGGTCAAATGCGCACTTACATTTTTATTAAAAAAAAACACTTATTCACGTAGCCCTAATGGCTAATCCGTCGTTTTAAACTGATCGAAATGAGAAATCGTCTGTATATGCCCCATATTAGAAGTTAACATCTGCATGAAAGTCAAAAGAACAAAATTGGCACCCAAACTGGACCATCAGTCTCACATAACTTCAGTTCTCTCCACATCATTGTGTGCTCCTTTTCTAAGCAGGATCTGTAACTGTTTGACTGCAGATTTAAGATGAATCTCAAACGACTTTCATATGCTCTCACTGTATCCAAAATTTGTTCAAATTCAGTCACACAACATCTCAAATTCTACTTAAATGGGAACATTAGCTTAAGTTTTATTTATTAATCATGAGATCACTCTCACAGTTAAGATCGGTTTATAAGGACGGCCTTTTAAGTAATCTTTCTCGTATCTGCACTTCGTAGCTATCACCACCCTGCTTAGAATAGATTACTATAGCATAACGCAAAAATTCATTGAATCAAAACTTAATTTTGTTATAAATATAATTATTACAACAAATCAACTGTTATCGTATTTTGTTACGTATTTTTTAGGTTTATTTTTAATTTATAATTTATACTTTTCTGCCAATGAAATAAACCTTTTTGAATCAGGTTAACATTATATATTTTAACTTATAGCAACGCTGCTAATTTAAAAAAAAATTCATAATTTTTAAATTGTTGCCATCCATCCTTATCAATATTTTATTAAAGGCAACACTGTTTTTGTTATGCGTGTCAAATTAGTTCACAGATCATCCAACTAATGTGATATAGGAGATGTGACGCTAGTGTATATGCAGTGTTGCTAGTAACCTTAATAAATGACAGACAAAAACGTCAAACGTATGTCAAAATAAGAGTCATTGGTCCTATACACATGTTTGATTTACGTCACGGACTTCTAACAACTTTTATCTATTATGATCTTTTCCTTTAGGTCTTTAAAAGACAATTATATATTTGCAACTATGTTGGATAATAATCCTTTAATTATTTAAAGAAATATAGAATTAAAGTACATTATTTTAAGTCATGTTTCAGACATATTTACAAATAGCTTTGTTTCACAACACAAAATTTAAAAGTCAAAGTAAACAATAATAGTTACTAGTATTAGTTACCGACAACGTTCCAAGGTTTAAATACTTTTTGTAGTTGAAGTCACTGAACTTTATGTAAATGCTTATTATTTATTGTACATAAAAACAACGACCTACTTATTTCAAATTCAATTAATTTGCATTGCAAACCAAACAGCAAATGCCATTTATGGCAAAATGACTGAATATTCATGTATTATTTTAGTAACTATAACAAAAAATTTGAAAATTAAGCCGTGTTCATTTTTTTTGTAAAGAAAATTATGTTGTCATAATTAGTACAATTTACCGCGTGATGAATGTCAATGACAAGTGATAACTCCACCTTTTAAACTGACAGGTACACAATACGCCCTCTAGTTGCAACTTCTAGCAATAAAGACTCATTCATTCGCGTTAAGAATGCAGTACGAAATATAAACTGGCCAATCAAGATGCGTTAATATCACGCCTAATGCATTAAGAAATTCATTTGCCAATAGATATCTTTTAAATCGTGACATTGCAATGATGTCTCTAGTTTTATGCTCACCAGGTAGCGCCACATGGACGCAAGGTCCAGACATCTAATTTCAACGGCTTAATGCCGTGCCAATATTTGTTTAAACAATATAACCTTTTCAATATCTTTCCTTTATACTTCTACAACTTATTTTACGCATATTAAAGTGTACTCGCTTTATGTTCCGTAAAGACAATTATTCATTCAAATGTAAATAAATTAAACAAAAAATGTTCCAAAATAAATATACACATTCATTTGAGCTGTACAGCCATCTGCGTTACAATCGTTTGAGCGGCAGAGCCATCTGTGTTCTAACGACTGCTGTACAAATTGTAAGGCCCTTCGCCTAGATGGCGCTAACAGGTGGAGCAAATATTTCCACTGAATTCTTAACAGAAATTTACTGTAATCCAGGCCCATCGAGTATATAACCAGAAATAGAGACGAAATAACGGCCATCCACCCCTGGCAACTCATCACGCAAATGGGCCTTATATCACTTTTAAATATCAACACTCGTTCGCGCTGAAATCACAAATCAGAAAGCTGAAATAGTACAGCGCCAACAACTGATCTGTGTGTACGTCTCCGTATATTCCAAAATTATTCTGTATTTATTGCAATCAAGATAATATCTCTAACAAATGGGCTGTTCCATTTCATGGTATGGGAAACAACAGACAGCAAAACATCTAATTACGAAACAAACGAAATCACATTTCATGGGTATTAAGTATGTAATTTTTCATACTTTGTCCATTATAGCAATGCTCAAGTTAAACTAGTTGATTTGAAAAAAAAACAATTGACGACACCCGTCATTGTTTCAAACTGGCTAATCGGAGCGCAGTTGTCACCGTAATGATTTGGCAGAATAGTATTCAAACAAATCAAATGACATTTCGTCTGTTTCTGGTATATACTCGATGTCCAGATCGGACATTCAATCTAAAATGTATGCACCTTCATAAAACACGAATAGCGATGTTTGACGAAATCACGCATAGTAACGGCATATGTCACGAGACACAGCTATTTCAATGTAGAGAACACACACTGCCCGTTACCGCGTAAGGTGTTGCGATTCCCCGCGTGCGATTGACCTGCTCCGGTGACTGACCTTGATAACTTTTAAGACATAATTAAGTTCTATTTGACAGTAAGCCTTAGTGACCTGACGAAATGCTCACAATCATCACGATAAAAAAAAGGTTCAGATTGTACAATCGCTTCGACACAAGCAAAGACTGAATAATCTGTATACTACACTATGTGCTCTTTGTATTGGTAGTACGTTCTTCATACTGCGTCCACGCATTCTTTAGTACCGCGTCAGTCGTCAATCAGCAAGGAATCTAGAGGATCTAGCAATGTCATCGCCATCGTCGTCTCGGCCTGGACTGATGCTGTCTATTTCGTCTACTTCTTCCAGGTTTTTCGTGCTCGGGTTGCATAGTCTAGAAATTTATAACATTTTAATTAATTCCATTATAAAAGTATTATTAATGAATTTATACGGGGTTATTTTTAAAATGCTAAAAACCTCGCAAGACTATATTACTAACATCATAAACAAAAACTTTTGTTCCATAACTTTTAATAAGTCATTAGATTTTACTTTCATATAAAAATAAATAGATCGCTCTAAACGGTAATTAACTTTGTACAGGACGGGGGTGGGAACTGAAAGGGAGGATGGGAGCTGGAGGGCAAAGAAGAACCTTGAGATTGAACATCTAATGTCCGAGCCCAATATTGTGGGAGAAACAAAAGCTGCGAGACTCCGCTGGCTCGGACACGCGGAGAGTATGGGAGAAGATCGTGTCGCGAAGAGGGCTTATTTGGGACAACCGAAAGGACGGACGCCCCAGGTACCGCTGGAGCGATGAAGTCTTGAAAGATCTCAAGGACCTCGGTGCTAGTGGCTGGAAGGAGTAAGCTCAGGACCCCGATTCAGAACTCCTCGATATTTTAACCGAATCGTTCTATTGGATATCGTTCTCGAATCGAAGAGCGGTTTTCGAGCTATTCAGAACATTCCGGGTTAAACGTTCCATTCGGATTCGGATACGATATCGTTATCCAACAGCGTTTACGGGGTTAGTCGGTGAAATGGATTATAAGAAAAATGAAAACCCTTTTATATACACTTTTAAGAATTTAAAGGCCTTAAATATAGGAATGCATTAGTCTTGCATTAAAATAAATTAATAAAATTGACCAAAATCCAGACTTTATTTAAAATAATTAAATATTTCCATATTTCATTCTTGCTTTGTAAACAACAGGATATTCGGTAACTTTCATTCGATAACTATGTTCTGAATAACGTTTGGAGCCTTTGCCGGTCGAGAAGTGTGACGTCATTTCGGTTCGGTTTGGAATACGACAGTTTGACGTTCGATTCGGGTATTGTGAATAAAAATGAAAAGAAATTGTACGATATCAAAACGAATCGGTCGACAACTGAGTTATCGTAAAGTTCTGAATCGACCCCCAGGACCGGGAGGAGTGGCAGAATCTGGTGTCGGAGGTCAAGACCCACCTTGGGTCACTAAGTAACGTAACTTCAGTAAGGACGGGGGTTGGAGTCGGCGCGGAGAACGCTTGCACGTTTCAACCTATTCTACCAAATACAGATCGAAAAAGTGTCAAATAGGACAACAAACACTTGAAAGTTTATTTTTGTAAAATTTATTATGTTTTGTAAAAACGGAACAAAAGTTGTTGTTTATGATGTTGGTAATATAGTCCCGCGAGGTTGTTTGTATATTTTAAAAATTACCCTGTATATTACACATTAATTCCCCAATCTTTAGAGGGTCCCATGAACAAAAGTGCGAAATGAGCAGATACCTACCTGCACTTGCAGCAGACGATGCAGGGCGCTGCTAACAATAGCAAAGGACTCGCCACCAGTAGTAGCAGACCGAAACCGGCGAAAATGCCTACCACCTGCAATGGACAAGGAAAATTTTAGTACAAATATATTGATACTGGTAGGCACACAGTATTTTCTACAAAAATAAGGATAAAGAGCCTTGGTGAATTTATAGTATTCGCATAATAATGTTAGGGTTGGACTTCACCAAGCGTCAGCTTTGCTTAACATTTTACTCCCTCAATGTAAGTTCAAAACTTAACCTTTTTGGAGAAACTGATATTATTTATTATATTCATTTCAAATGTACTTGCGCGAGCCAATTCAAAGCCAAAGTATTCATGGCTGTTACCACGTACCTACGTAAGTCTTTATATTGTCAGCTTCGCAAAAACTACTTTACGAATTTTGTCACTTTATAAATAAGGTTACGATTAATTAAAAGAGAGTTTTATTATACATATTTGAGACTCTTGAAATTGGATGGATGACAAGGCAACGAATGTATTATTATAACGTTTTTTTTTCTAACAATTATTTGTTAATTAGCTTAATTTCACAGTGCATTCGTTCTTAAACTACAATACCGTGTAAATACATTTCGTCGGGGATAGTGCCAATCCGCGTATGTAGTATTGGTAAAAAGCGCGTATCTGCACCAAACCAAATCTCACAGGAGAGGAATTTAACGCTATTACTTGGTTATTTCAGTAGCTACGACTTTAATTTTTGCACAGTAAGCATTAATTTATGTTGTCCACGGACTGATAACAATAGATTCCCGTAAATCATGCTAATTTGGTCGTCACGACATTTACGCGGATTTAATTTGGCCAATAAATTACCGAAATGGAAACTCTTAATCAAATGCTAGTTACGCGTAACTGCACTATCATCGAAGATTTGCAAAACATTTGAAAAAAATCAAATTCAAGAAAATAATATTCATGTCCGCTCCAGCATCGACCCATTTAAAACATACTGAAGTGTTAACTTCGTGCTGTTGCGTGCCGATGAGTGTGGTCGGATCCTTATTTGAGGATAAATAACAGTAACTTTTAAGAACGAGCCAATTCAAGTTTTTGTAAATAAGGAAGGTGCGCTCACCGGCGATAATTTTCGACTAATCATATTTGATTTTTTTTATATTATATTTTCTTATGTATTCTACGTAGGTCAGTGAACGAATGTAATTTGTTACCTGTGCGCGGTGCCAAAGCACCGATGCTCGGGAGTGGCCGAGTTTGTTTTTGCACGGGCCTTTGTCGTAGTGCCTGAGAAGAAAATCGTCCTGCAAGAAAATATCAATATTATAAGTCTGCGAGAATCTCGTGACAAATGAGGAAAGTGTGTGGATATTGTTCTAAATACAACTTACAATCTGTCGTATATTTAAAATAAAATATGTGTGTAGGTATAATTATACAACGTCCCATTTTCGAGATGGCAGGTTTTTTTTTTACAAAAGTACGAGGTTATACGAAATTAATAACTTTTTTCACATTTCTCAGTAAAATATTAGATGCAATGCCTGGAAAAACTATTTAGAATAACCACAAAAATAAAAATAACAACCATCTGGAGCTAACCCTGGCAATAATAGCATAAAACCCAACATAAAGTTGAGTTTTCCCAAAAAAATAAAAAAGTGCCAATATCTCCAAAGCCAAAAGACTTATTAAGGTCAAATTATTTTTTTCTGTTAGGTATAGAGTTCATCTACCCACAGTGTCAATCTGGCGTGATATTTTTGGGACATCTGTATATACACAAACACATACTTTACTTTCAGCATGCTATTGAAGTTTGTGGCTGAAATTTTTCTATATTTCTTTTATACGTATTTGCCTCTCAGCTCTTTGCGATTTAAAGCTCTGAGTGACATTGCAACTGATATGGATAGGCGTGTCGCTACGGTCGCTGATCACCAGGCGCACGACTTATTATCATATGTTATATAAAAAAAGGCTGAAAAAAATGCTAAATACTAATGCTAAAAAAATGTTTCTTTATACTTTTTGTTTACGGTATTGTGATTAAACATTTTGCTGTTTTGTAATTACAAATATATTTTATTACAATGTACGCAAACAAATAGAAATGATTTTATTTTTGTCGGCTTGCTGTAGTTTTATGGAATATCATTTGCAAACAGAGCGAAGAAACAAAATTGCAAACACGTTTTTATAGTAGGTATATACTTAAATCGTAAAACATTCATAGTGACAACTTAATCGAGAGAGCGGATTCTTTATGTACTATTTAAGAGGTCGTAGATTCGATTTCCATTTTGTTCACATAAGAGTAAAGAAAAATATTATGAAGAATTCTGCATGTCGAAGGAAGGTTAGATAATGACTCAACGGTCTCGGTGGCTCAACGGTCTAAATTATGAGCGATGGATATGGATGTCCCGGGTTCGCTTCCCGGTAGAACCAATTTGGGAAATGAACGTTTCTGGTCTGGGTGTTCTGGGTGCCCCAAAGTGAAATGCGTTGCTCTGGTACTGGTAGGTAATTTCCTAGTTTGTTACCACGTTATCGGTGTACTTGTTTGGCACATTATTATTATTAGATAAGTCACTGAAGGTGTGTCAAGTTGGACCTGGGTGATACGCTATGAAATTCCTCTCTTTGTAGGAGGTTCATGCTCAGTAGTGGGGCGTATCATGATGAATAATATTCGTATTCAACAGCACTCGTGTATTAGTAAGTTTATCTCGTATATTAGAATTCGTGTATCCATTTCAATTTTAGCATAAAGTTAAATATACCAATTATAATAACGGTAATACTACTTTTCTAAACCGTCCACAAATCTATTTTCATAGCGTTAGTAAAGTTTATACCGTATGTTTAACGATCGATTAGAGAATACCGTCACGTACCGATTCTCATTTTATTTTTAAACGATCACGATCGGCTAAATTTAGAACGGAGTGAGTCTTAAAACAGCAGAATAAAAAAAAGTGAGGCACAAAACACTGATATCAATTCGAATTTTAAAAATAGAATACCTTGAAATTTTTGGCCATTCGCTTTTATTTCGTACATAAAACACTTAGACCGCCATCCACGAGGTGTTTTTTTTAATTCGTGTTCGGATACCTTAATGTATATTTATACTGTGATTAGTGAACATACATAAATGCTGCGCTAAGTAGTGAGCGTGTAGTAGTTTGTAAAAATAAAAAAAAACAACGTTATTGTTTACAAATTCGTTTCTTAGTGTGGCTTGTGTAATGTTTTCAACTGCATACAACAAATCCCAGACAATACACAGGAATCAAGCGCAGTATCAGACAGTTTATAGTATTGATAAAGAAAAGAACTGATTTTTTGTGCGAAACTTTAGAATTAAGGCAGCTTTAGCACCATTATGAAAATCCATTTCTTGGTCAGATTATAGGAATGACCATCGAAATCGAACCAAGGTTCTTCTGCATAGAAGACAAGCGCTCTCCATTAAAAGTACTATTTTGTGAACCGCTCCCATGAAAATGGTTCTAATCGTCATTTTCGTGGCGAATTGCGTTTATTACGTGACAAAGAATTAAACAATTGAAAATAGGGATATAGGACAGTGCGAAAAACCTAAAACATTCAAATCAAATGGTAACTTTCTGCAGAAATCAACGTTGACACATCTGTGTCCACGAAAATGACGTGTACAGTGTCGTACCAAAAAGATGCAATAAATTACCAAAATCCATTGACTTACAATTATATGGACGTCGGGTCCGCGCTAAAAAGTGTCCGAACTTATAGGGCGTTAAAATCGTATACAGAGCGTCATTCACGCTTTAGTCTTCGTTTGTTCGACTGACAGCGAAGCAAGCAAAATTAGACAGTACTGCGATGACATTACAATTTAAATTCAACGTTTTAGCTTTTTCATATTCCTTTACATCTTGGGACTTTTTTTCGTGGTTTTTGTATTAGACCCGTCGTCCATTTATTTGTAAGTCAATGCCAAAATCATGTAGGTACATTGCTACCCTCCTTAACTTAAACAACGCATTTGAATTTTGGTAACTTTAAAAATATTGGCTAAAGATTTTTTTCTTAGCCAAATTTAAATGTCAATTACGCTTATTTTGCTTATTATAATAATAAACCATTAATTTCAGGCCATAGCCTGTAAGATAATGGTGTTAGTTACAAAAGAAAAACAATTTATGTTTTTCATTGTCTAGACATTTCAATTTGTTTCGCAGATTAGTAAAACGTAACGAGAGAAGATTTTGCTTTAGTTTTTAATGAACCTTTCCGTGCTTGTTGCCAGAAAAGTAAGAGAATTACAGAATTTAAAAACTTACTTCATGACTGTAATAATGAAACATAATTTATTAGTGAGAGACTTTGATATCGATTTTTAACCGACTTCAAAAAAAGGAGGAGGTTCTCAATTCGACTATATGTTCTTTTTTTTGTATGTATGTTACGCGATAACTCCGGTATTTGTGAACCAATTTTCATGATTCTTTTTTTGTTGGAAAGAGGGTACCTCCATTGTGGTCCCATTTCATTTTGAAAAAAATCATCCACCTCTACGGGTGGCTGATCACGTATGAACATTCATTTTTCTAAATAGCGCCTAAATTGTACATAAGGAGCAATTATTTTAATGGTTTTGCTATTCTCCAATTCAAGGCGTTTTTGTCTTAATATACTTTGAGTAGTGAGAACCGATTTTTATTATCTCCTGTGTCAAGTCCTGTATAATGGCGAACTAGGGGATATTTCAATAAAACTTGACAAGTAGATGTAATTCCACATACTTTTGAGGTCGGTTTTTTTAGTATTCTGTACTGAGATTATAAGAATTTATCTCAGGCGTGTGCCGATACAGTGTCTGTCAATAGTAGGATTTTGTACGTTTGGTATACTGCTAAAAGTTAACCGTAGTGGCTCGTCAATGACTAACCATCAAGTGCTACTCAACTGCCATTGCAATATTTTGGTGCTGCTCTTCAACGGCGAATTGTCGTCAGGCGCATGTCAGGATGTTTCACCACCAGATATTCAATAATGTTTTTTGTGATTTTTTTTTTATAAAATATAAGTGCGCATTTGACCTCCATCTCACCTGATGGAAAGTGACGATGAGGTCGACGATGGTGCATGCACATCTAAATAATGCCTATTTACTCCGGCATTGAAAAGACCCAAGTTATAACGTTCAGGGAACAAGTGTGCAGGCATATATATTATAAATGTAATTATCGCTATATCTCTTTTTATTTTTCCGACATTATTTTCACAAGCTATACTTAAACATGACTTTTAAACATATTTCTTCTTTATGAGCATTGAGTTTCATTGAACATCATACTCAAACTCTAACATTTTCTCTCAATGAATACCCAATCGACAAACTAATTTTTTTAGCCGGTAGAGTTTTGGTAAAAATATCTGCCAGTTGTCCTTCACTTGACACCTTCTTTAATGTAATCTGCTATTAATTAATAGCAATAATTATTCAACAAAGATCGCACACTTAGAAAAAACTCTCTTCGATCCGATTAAATGATTTCTCTATGAAGAAAAACATCCTATAAAAACTTTCCCTCCGGGTCACATAGCCATGGGACACCCTGTACACGCATTTCCATATGAGTTAATGTTTTTATTTTACTTGATAATAGTTTAAATGTAAAACCTAATAGAAGTGACCCTTAATAATAAAGAATCATGTTTATATTTAGGATTTAAGTCCTTCTCGTAACCGTTAACAAAAAGTTAATTACCGTTTAAAAAACTGTTGGAAGGTTAAAAGTATGTAAAGGATATGGACATAATGGACAATATTCTAATAATAATATATGATGTGCCAAATAACCTCACGAATTCCCTGTACTATGAGAGAAGCCGTGGTAGCTTAATGGTTTGACCTATCGCCGCTTAATAAGAGGCCGTGGGTTCGAATCCAGGTTCGCACCTCTGGTTTCTCGAAATTTATATGCGAAATTTAGTTTGAAATTTACCATGAGCTTTTCGGTGAACGATAAAATAATGAAACCTGCACATCGAAGAAGGTTCACAAACATCGGAAAACGCGTGAAACTCTCACCTGATAGGAAACCCGTGCAGAGCAGTGGAACGTATAAATGGGTTGATAATGATGATGAGTACCAGAGCAACGTTGTATCCCCTAAAGATTTCGTTTTAAAATGGATACATAATATCCAACCAATGCATCAATATCACTTAACATGTATTGAGCTTTCTAAACCTCGGTTACAAACTCACAATCGATTCAAGTACAATGCGCTTCGTGTGCCGTCAAAACGACGCGGGCGCAGGTCAAGGGGAACTTGGGCTTAGCAATTGTTACACCGTGATCCAATGACTGCTTATGCAATCGCGAAGTAATTGTGAGTTATTAGGTTTTAATTATTGTAGTTGCAAATGGTTTTAAAAATTATTGTCCTTGTAACATTGACATGTGCGCTAATGTCTTTGGAATTGAAAAGTTGAAGATTTCATGTCAATGTTTTTCATTACAATTTTATACGTAAATCAAAACCTGTTTCAGAAAACTTACTTTAAAATTTATCTACTCATTACTTAAATGGTAAAAAGCGAATACTTACATCTAAGGAAGCGAGGCAATACCAGCAAAACACATGTTTGCACCGTTTGCACATCATTTGCGCACATCCCTCGTCCTTTTCAATAGGCACGCGGCACATTGGGCAGAGCTTGATCAACTCGGAGTCTGGTAATAGGGGAGCTCCAGCTCCTCCCATTGAGGAGGAGGCGGCGGCTGCTTCACAGGATATACCACCATGCCACTGTGAAAAAAGAAAAAGGTACTTGAATGAATCGAAATTTAGAATGTTCATGTTTGTATTTTAATTGTCGATGTTTTGTATGCTGTACTCATTGACCTACCAACAAATGGACAACGAGTCTAATACAAAAACCACGAAAAAATGTCCGAAGTTAACCTATACAAACGTAGTGACATGTAACGAATATAAAAAAAAAACTAAAACATTTAATTTAAATTGTAACGTCATTGCAGTACTGTCTAATTTTGCTTGCAACAATTTAAGGGCCCAAAAACACCATCTTCAGCTTTTACTGGAAATTACTTGAATACAAGAGTAATGGAGCTGTCTTTGTTGTAAATATTAATAAATTTTTATATATATTATTATGTCGAATTTTTTTCGAATTCACTTAAAGAAATAATAAAGAGTTGGGCATACATAAATTAATTTTGAATAAAACTAGTTTGTCTAAGCTCAAATATCTACACGCATATATCAAATAATATTTTTTAAATAAAAGCCGTGGATTATTTAAGAATAATATATAATAAACACATTAAGAATCTTATCTAAGAAGCGACTGTGTCAACGACCGTGTGAGGCCGACCTCAATACACCGGCCTTGCATTTTACACTTGAACCAACTTCTTACTGCTAATGAAAAAACTACAACTCATTGATATCCTCATAAATATCTGACAATATAAGTGTTTTTCAGCAGCAAAGGTACGTTGGTAAAATTGTGTCATTATATTCAAATGGTGGCCTCGGCGATGACAGATTCCAAATATCTTTATTTGTCTATATGCCGTTGCTCTTATCTTAACGCGTTAGATAGATCTACGGAGTAACTCATGTTTACTATTTATCGTAATATCAATTGAATTGATAATAAATAGGCACCTTTACAACGTTATATAGTCATTCTATTTAAGGATTTTTCAAATGAAATTAAACGTTATATCAAAGTGAGCGTTAAAAACATTGACTTACAAATAAATGGACGACGGGTCCAATACAAAAACCACGAAAAAAATGTCCCAAGTCAAACTATTTAAACGTAGTGACATGTAAAGGAATATGAAAAAGCTAAAACGTTAGATTTAAATTGTAATGTCATCGCAGTACTGTCTAATTTTGCTTGCTTCGCTGTCAGTCGAACAAACGAAGACTACAGCGTGAATGACGCTCTGTATACGATTTTAACGCCCTATAAGTTCGGACACTTTTTAGCGCGGACCCGACGTCCATATAATTGTAAGTCAATGATTAAAAACGACTATTATAAAATATATCATATATCGTGATGTAAGTGACAGGCGTGACAAAATCTGGGTGATTTGTCACTGTGTTTTTTTTGTTACTGGAACGATAGACACCGAGATAGGAATGTAACGCTTTTCCCCATGTCTACTAAAAGCTTTAGTTTAAATAATGTTGTACCAAACCGGTACTGTATACTGTTGTGAATACGCGCCATGGTACAAGAAATCGATATGAAAAAACCATTTGCACCACAAGAGAGTGCGAGCCAATTTTAAAATGAATATTTCATGTCACACTTGCGATTTTTCACATGCACTTTCGCCTACAAATTACCTACTTTCAATTATTGCATTACAACCAGAGTAGTGTCGTTTTCATTTTTAAATTATATTATAATGTCTTTAGTATACAATCTCAATCATTTCAAACATCTGATAAAAAATATATTTGAGCAAGAAGTTTACAAGTTTTTCTTCAACAAAAGTCAATAAAAACGAACCATGTGAAAATGCGTATGATAGGTTTTCACTCTAAGGCGACGTTACAAGCTACCTTGGTGAGTAAATCATGGAGTAATGTCATAGTGTATATGTAACTAAAAAAAACAAAACTAAAAAAGCATTACGTTCATATGACAGGGTCATTTATATTTAGGTTCCGCCCATTTATCTTTGGATTCGGCCCAACTCGGCGCAAGCGCAGTGCAAGTATACACTCAGATGGGATGACAATGTTAATTTGCGGATTTCAACATCTACTTCAGTAACACATATATCATATTTACAGCCGTTTTCAGTGGCAAAGGTCTTCAAATTCAAACGATTATATTGAAATCACCAGTGTTGTATTTGGACCCACATCTTTGTGCTAATGTGAAATTGTGAACGATGAAAGTGAACAAATATAGCTTTGCAATTGCATTCTTGTCAATCTGCCTTACGAATTAATGGCAAATGTAATATCGTCGCCTTATTATATGAAACTCGTATCTTAAAGCACAAAGTTACTGAAATGCAAAAAATTGATTGTATATACAAATTTTGCAGGCTGATTTTAGATGTACAGATCAAGTGACGGTAACACTTCTTAAAGCTTATTGCCAGTCCTTTTACACGTGCAGCCTGTGGGTCAACTATACGCAGCGGACATACGGTGCACTGCGCGTTCAGTATAACAATGCGTTCAGGATGTTGTTCCGACTGCCACGTTTCTGTAGCGCATCAACCATGTTCGCTGATAAACGTGTAGACGATTTTTACGCTATCATACGAAAGCGAAGTGCGTCGCTACTCGGTCGCATGCGTGGCAGCACAAACAGCATCCTGAACACATTGACAGATAGGTGGGAGTCCCCAATGTTGTGGCGGTGGATGCGTTTGCACACCGCTAGCTATTCACTGCTCTAACATTGGCTGGGCAGTTATCCTCCCGCCTATTAAACAAATTATTATTTAATTATTATTAGTATTATTTTTATTTTTATTTTTATGTTTAAACTAACACTAGCTTAAGTACTTTTTATTAACAAATATTATGGATCATGTTGTCTAAGAATAAAATTATTATTATTATTATTATTATATCACATTTCCTTCATATTCACACACTAGCTTTTATCTATTCTTAAAGTAATGCGTCCAAATTAACACCCTTGATAAGAAATTTAAAATGAATAGAAAGTTTTGCAATCTCCTGAATAATCACTCTTTACAAGATACGAGTTTGAGAAAGTAAGGCATCGATATGCTATATTAATGAATTAAAGGAAAAGAACAAACAAAATTAAAAAAATAAAAATACAGAGATTAGCGACATCTCTCGCCAGGACTGGTAGCTGTAAAGGCACTAACTGGGTGATAGATCTTTCATAGATTCCTCATAGATGGCGCTACGACTAAAAAGTCGTTGAAAAACCAAATACAGAGACACGACGCAAGCACATAGAAAAATTTGGTATAGCGTCTGGCACGGTGAGCTAGAAGACGACGGTTCGAATCCGGCCGGATCGAAGGAATTTTTTCTGAGTGTTCGATCTTTGTATTAATAATTAAAACTACTTAGGCACTTAGGCAGTTTCAAAATTCGCATTATGTCTTACTTGTGGAATGTAGACATATTGTGACCGTAGAGCTTCTTGTGAAACAATTCGTCCAGGGAAGTACTGCATTACCTATTTCTGCCGCCAAGCAGTAATGTGAGCATTACAGCGTTCCGGTTTTGAAGGGTAAGGGTGCTGGTGAAATTACAGGCACATGGGACTTGTCAACTTATGTCTCAGGGTGACGGGCGCAGTGGGAGTGCCAGATCTTTGCGATTTATAGCTCTGAAGTGGTATAATTCGTGTGTCCAAATGACGCGAAACGCAAACCGTAAAACAATACAACCAGTACTTTTACCGTAAGAGACAGTTTTACTGAGAGCAGCGAACTTTACACTTAGCAGGGAGTACAATATGCGACCTACTTGTGCTGAGGAGGCATGAAAAGATCCCAGCTACCTTTGGATCTCACATTGTGTACTAGGCCCTTTTTCCGAAAAACACGCAAATAAAATCCAACTGACAGAAATAAACTTTACAAAGCTTTTATTTGTAAAATTGTAAATAAAATGTTGTATATCCATATGTTTGTAATAGAACACTACCGTGAGATTCAGACATATTAAGGCGAGTCACTGGAGGAGAAGCGGGAAAAACTGTTTTGATAGATCAAATGGTTTAGGTATTTAATATTAAATAACAGTCGTACAAAAAATATACGATACACTTAAGGATATTGTCTAAAGAATGTGCTAATTTGTTACAAAATAGGATGTACTTTAACCGCTCATACAAAATCCTGAAAAAACAGGCTAAAACAAAATTCTAAAACGAGTTATTTAAGAATAAAATATCTATCTTGGTACATAATTACAATATAGAGATATTTTTCTTTAAGTACTACAGAGAATGTGCTAAATTTTAGTTTTTACAAATTGCCCAGCGGTTTAACGACATGCCGCGCCGCCCGCTGCCCCGTCAGTCGTCATCGGACGCTTGTCGACGTCAGATGTGTGTCAAATTTTCTCCGCTCATGTTCTTATTTTATTCATATTAATAGTGCGAGCGGATTGCGAGTCGTGATGAACAACCCCCCACTACACCTAAAATCTAAGCACGCGATGAAATGCCTCGCCTGAACTACACTAACAACTATCCCCGTTTGCTTCATTCTTATTAAAGTCATACGCAAGATTGCACACTACCTACACTAACAACGCCACTTTCTATAACCTCATCAACACCAACATATCCTCATCCGCACCAACCACTGACGTAGTCACCAGGATAACAGAGTTTACTTAATATGTGTGTAACAAATGTGTTCTGCAGTTAAGGCATTAACTTTACCTCTCCCTGGTGGAAGGGCTACTATCATCTACGAGAAAGGTGCATCGTCTCTGTTACCTCTGTGGTTTTATGGTTGTGAAGTAAATAAATACACTGTTATGTATTATATTTTTTTTTATAGCCCCGCACAAGTGAAACCACACATAGACAACCACAAAGTACACCCATGAGAGAAATATATGTAGGCCATACAAATATTTCTCCCGGCACGTGATTCGAACTCGGGACATCTGCGTGGCAGTCCGGCAAGGTAACCGTTCGGCCACCGAGGCTGTTAAATTGAGAATAATATTTTTATTATTGATACAAAAATTAAACATACACAAAGCAAAATTCCTTCGATCCGAAATATCTGGATCGACTA